CCATTGTTGCTGCTCTGCATGTGATGTATGCTGATGACTCTAGTGTGCTTCCCGCTTATTACTCACTGTTGCCTAGTGTAGGTGTGCCTAGCTTAGCCTCCCGTGCTGCGTCAAGCGTAGGATCCCCTGCTTTGTGTAGTCTTGGTGCTTCAGCCGTCGTTCCGTTGCCAGACGCCTCTGCTTCGCTTTCCTTCATCTTGGACTCTGGCGCTTCTCGGTGTTTCTTCCGCGACTCCACCACCCTGACGCCGCTTCCTGTCCCAGCTGCCGTCTCTCTTGCTGACCCCTCTGGCGGTCCGGTAGTCGCCCGCAGCTCCACCACCCTTCCCTGTCCGGCGGTTCCTTCGGGCACTCTCACAGGTCTGCATATCCCCTCGTTCTCCAGGAACCTAGTTGGTGTCGGCTGCCTGCAGGACCTTGGCGTCACCACTACGTTCCCTGGTCACGAGCGGTATGCTGTCTGTACCGAGGCCGCCACCGGTGCCCCCCTGTCCACGTTCCCCCGGGACCCGGTGTCCGGCCTGTTCACTCTGGACACCGTGACCCCCTCAGCTGGGGCGCCTCCTCAGGTGGCTGCGTCTACCCAGGTTGCTGCTGCCTGCTCCTGTCGTCCCTCACTCACCCGACTCTCCTTTGGCACCATCGCCTAGGTCACCCTGCACTCCCGCGTCTGCGTCACATGTCCCAGCACGGTCTTGTCCTTGGTCTCCCAGGTTCCCTCCCCGCGTTTCCCTCCTCCCCAGCCCCACCTTGCACGCCTTGTGTCGAGGGTTGGCTTCGCTGTGCCCCTCACTCCTCCTCGTTTCCCCCTACCACCGCGCCGCTGCAGACCCTGCACCTGGACGTCTGGGGCCCCGCCCCCGTCCCTGGGCCGCGTCGAGAGCGCTACTTCCTTGTGCTTGTCGACAACTTCACTCGTTACACCACAGTCTTTCCCCTGGAGCGCAAGGCCGACGTGCCTGGTGCTCTCATCCCCTGGCTTGTCTCTGCACGTGTCCACCGCGGTCTCCCTGTCTTGCGTCTTCACTCCAACCGTGGTGGCGAGTTTGCCTCAGGTGTCCTTGGTCGCTTTTGTCGTGCGGAGGGCATCACCCAGACGTTCACCCTACCGGACTCCCCACAGCAGAATGGGGTCGCTGAGCGACGCATCGGTTTGGTCATGGAGGTGGCTCGCACCTCCATGATCCATGCCGGTGCACCCCATTTTCTGTGGCCGTTCGCTGTGCGCTACGCTTCTCACCAGCTTAACTTGTGGCCGCACCCTCAGCAGCCGCAGGTTTCGCCGACTCGTCTTTGGACTGGGTCTCCTGGTGACGCATCTGCGTTCCACGTCTGGGGCTGCCTTGCTCACGTCCGTGCCTCCGGCACGGACAAGCTCACTGCCCGCACCCTTCCCTGCGTCTTCCTCGGTTTTCCCCTTGACGCGTCCGACTGGCACTTTTACCACCCGCCGTCTCACCGCTTCTTTCACTCTCGTGACGTCACCTTTGACGAGTCCGTCTCCTACTACCGACGCTTCCCCCACCGCGGTCCCCCGGTTACCCCCCCCCTGTTCCTAGTCACTCCTTCCCCGGTAGTCCCTGTCCCTCCTCCTCCTCCTCCCCGTCCAGCCCCCTCTGGTGTGTCCCACGTCATCCCCCTTCCGTCGGTGGACCCGGTTGAGGAGTCTTCTGACTCGGGTGGCCCTCCTGTTCAGTCCTCACCGGCCGCCCCTCCCCTGGCGTCCCCTCCCCAGTCCCCCCCTCCACAGCCTCTGCCGCCGCTGCAGCCGTCGTTGTCGCTGCCGATGCCGCCGCCGCCGTCGCAACACCCGTTCGCTGACTCTGGGGGTGCTCGTCCCGGTAGCCCTGGGGGTGGTCCCTCTGGGGGCGCTGGTGTGGAGAGTGCCGGTGGTAGCCGAGGAGCAGCTTGCGGTCCCGGTGTCGCCGTTGTGCCGCCGCAGCAGCAGTCCCCGCCGGTGTCAGCCCTTCGCCTGCTCGGCCTTCCGTCCCCCAACCCTGCGTCGGTTCCTCCCCGGCCGTCTCCTCCTCTTCCTGTCTACGGCCCTGTCTTCCCTCCGCCGGACTTGTCCCCGGCCCGTCTCCCCCCTCGTTCCCCTCCTGTGTCCCCTCCTCTGTCTCCTGACCCGACTCCTCCGTCGCACGTCTGGTCTCACCGTCCCTCCCGTGCTCGTCCTGCCTCGCCTGTCTTGCGCTCCCACCCTATGTTGCTCCGTTCCCACGCGTCTCGTCCTCCCCTTCTGCCGTCGCCTCCTCCGTCCTCCCTTGTTGTTGCACCCCCCTCGCTGTCTGACTACCTTCGTGCTGCTCGTCCCCTTGTTCCTCGGGTCCTTGCCTCTCTCGTTACCGACCCGTCTGTTCCGGCCTCCTGCCTTGACGCTCTTGTCGCTGCTATCGCTGACTTCGCCTCTACCTGCCGCCTTGACTACGCCTCCGCTCTGGTCTCTGACCCTGCCTGTCCTCCGTCTATCGGGGGTGCTCCTGCCCTTGGCAGTGACGTCCTGGAGGACCGCCAGTTTGAGCTTGCTTTCCTGTCCGAGGCTGCTCCCCATCTCTGTTCCATGCTGCTAGTCCCTGAGGGTGACCCAGACGCTTTCGACATCCCGACCCCTCGCACTTACGCTGAGGCGACTTCGGGACCCTGGGCCTCGCAGTGGATAGCTGCCATGGAGCAGGAGATGGCATCTTGGAGATCCACCGGCACCTTCGTCGACGCAGTTCCCCCACCTGGGTGAACGTAGTCGATGGCCGCTGGCTCTTCAAGGTGAAGCGCCCTCCTGGAGAGCCGCCTGTCTTCAAGGCGCGCTATGTCGCTAGAGGCTTCAGTCAGCGCGAGGGGGTGGACTTCTTCCAGACCTTCGCTCCGACCCCAAAGATGACTACTCTTCGGGTTCTGTTACACCTAGCTGCTCAGCGTGACTACGAGCTTCACTCCCTCGACTTCTCCACTGCCTTCCTTCAGGGCAGCCTACACGAGCAGGTCTACCTGCGCCGCCCCCAGGGCTTCACTGGCACCTTCCCTCCTGGGACCCAGTGGCTCCTGCGGCGCCCTGTCTACGGCCTGCGCCAGGCTCCCCGTGAGTGGCACGACACTCTCCGTGCTACGCTTGCTGACCTGCAGTTCTTTCCGTCTTCCGCAGACCCTTCACTCTTCGTTCGTGCTGGCCAGACTCCGTTCTACATCCTTGTTTACGTCGACGATCTAGTCTTTGCCACAGCTGACAGGGACGCACTGGCCTCCGTGAAGGCAGAACTGCTGAAGAGACACACGTGCACTGACCTTGGAGAACTGCGCCGTTACCTTGGCTTGCAGATCTCCAGGGACAGAGCTGCGCGCACCATCACCCTGACTCAGTCACACTTGGTGCGCCAGGTCCTTCAGAGGTTCAGCCTTCAGTTCTCCTCTGCACAGCCCACCCCTCTGCCTGTAGACCACAGACTCTCCGCTCCAGTGTCTGAGGAGTTGGTAGAGCCCAGCGGCCCCTACGCAGAGCTGGTGGGTTGCCTCATGTACCTGATGACTTGCACTCGCCCAGATCTCGCATACCCTCTCAGCATCCTGGCTCGCTTTGTGGCCACAGGCAGACACCGACCGCAGCACTGGTCTGCCGCTAAGAGGGTTTTGCGTTATCTTGCTAGTACATCGGGCATGGGGTTAGTGCTAGGAGGACGCAGGCCAGTGGTCCTTACTGGACACACAGACGCTTCGTGGGCAGACGACGCTGAGACACTCAGGTCTACCCAGGGCTACTGCTTCAGCCTTGGCTCAGGTGCCGTCTCGTGGAGAGCTACCCGCTCCTCGTCTGTTGCCCAGTCCAGCTGTGAGGCTGAGATCTACGCTGGTGCCATGGCGGCACAGGAGCTCCGCTGGCTGACCTTCTTGCTCACTGACTTAGGTGAGCGGCCTAGCTCTGCCCCGGTCCTGTTCGCTGACAACAGGGCCATGATCCTCCTGTGTCAGGAGCCTCGACTCGAGGGCAGAGCAAAGCACATTCAGCTGCGGTACTTCCTCCTGCGTGAGCTACAGCAGCGACGTCAGGCTCGCGTAGTACACTTGGCCTCAGGTGCCAACACGGCTTATATCTTTACAAAGGCGCTTGCGCCTAAAGATCATCAGCGGCACTGTGTACAGCTTGGTCTAGTTCCTGTAGCCTCTCACTTGCTAGGGCCTTGACTTTGTACTGTCCTTTATACATATACTCAGACTGGACTTGTGTCCTCTCCCAGTGGCTGGACTAGTAGTGCCGCCCTGCTCTTGTTCTTGCCTTGTTTGTACTCCTTCTGACTGGTCTTTTAGACCCTTGTCTCAGAGGTTGGACTAGTAGTGCCGCCCTGAGCTGTTTGTCTAGGGCATTCCCCTATGCAGTCTAGGGGGTGTGTCAAACATGTGTATTTGTCATGTTTGTATAGACTGTATAGGGTCGCCTCTTAGAGAGTACAACACTTAGGTATATCTGTGTGTACTCTCACTCTATCCAATTCACTTTTTCAATTCCTGATAGCAGGGACCATCTCGTGGAGGTCCACCCGCTCGTCGTCTGTTGCACAGTCTAGCTGCGAGGCTGAGATCTACGCTGGTGCCATGGCGGCTAGGAGCTCCGCTGGCTGACTTTCTTGCTCACAGACTTAGGTGAGCGGCCTAGCTCTGCCCCAGTCCTGTACGCTAACAACAGGGCCATGATCCTCTTGTGTCAGGAACCTCGATTGAAGGGCAGAGCGAAGCACATCCACCTGCGGTACTTCCGCCTACGCGAGCTTCAGCAGCGCCGCCAGGCCCGCGTAGTTCACTTGGCCTCCGGTGCCAGCACAACTGATATCTTTACGAAGGCGCTTGCGCCTAAAGATAATCAGCTTGGTCTAGTTCCTGTAGCTTCTCACTTGCTAGGACCTTGATTGTATACCATATCTTGTATTTTCTTGACTGGCCTTGTGGCTCCTATTCCAGTGGCTGGACTAGTAGTGCCACCATGGCTTGCCTTTGTCTAGTTTGTACTCTTCTGACTCGTCTTCGTACCCTTGCCCCAGAGGTTGGACTAGTAGTGCCACCCTGAGCTGCGTGTCTCGTGCTAGTCGCCCCTTATCTAGCCTAGGGGGTGTGTCAACATATATTTGTATATGTCATAGGCTAGATAGGTGCATGCTCATAGAGAGTACAACACCTTAGAACAAAACCACTCCGTATCACTCATTCTACTCCATTCGTTACTCTGAGACTGCATTAAAAAAAAAAAAAAAAAAAAAAAAAAAACAGAAGGGCAGACCAAGGTGAAGCATGCACTTTCTCAGCAACACAATCAAACATTCTCAATATCAGGGCTGAAGCAGCAAAAATCAATGTTGCACGAAAACTTGAGACAATCACTGTCAGTCCTGCAAATTCATTTTCCTTGTTTTGGAAGTCAGTCATGCCCTGTCTGCTCCCCACCACGCCCACCTTGCCTTGAGGCGCCTCAAAACCGTAAATGAAGATAATCAGTCCTCCTCCGCCTGCCCCTGTGCGCGCAGGTTGAGGTTCTTGTCTCTCTTTTGGAAGTCTGTCATGCCCTGCCCGCTCCCCACCACCCCCACCTTGCCGTGCACGTCCTCTGGCGACTTGAATATGCTCTCCTTCTTGCGCCCCGTCATGAAGCCCGCCTGCAGATATATGGGGGAGGTGAGGGGAGGAAAGAGAGGAGAGGAAAGGGAAGTCAGCCATGCCCGGCTCACTCCCCACCATCCCCACGCTTCCCCTCACGTCCTCTGGCGACTTGAACATGCTTTCCTTCTTGCAGCCTGTCATGAAGCCAGCCTGGAAAGACGAGAGATGGGAGAAGAGGATAACGAAGAGGGGGTCAGAAGGATGAGCCGTGAAGGGATTGCCAGCAGTGGAGCTGGTGATCTTAGCCCAACCGTATTGCCGGACGACTTGAAAATGCTATCTTTCTTGCGGCTTGTCATGGGGCCAGCCTGCAGAGATACCAGGGCCCATCCCTCATGACGGTGAGAAGATCAGGAAGACGTGAAAGAAGTGAGCTATAGAAGGAAGAAGTGAGAGAAAAGGGTGGAAGGGGGAGGAGAAGGGAGTGGGGGGAAAGAGGGTCATGACTCATGAAGATGAGTTGAAAGGAAAAAAGGACACCCCTGCAAGTGGAGATAAAGTTGTGAAGGGTTCAAGAGCAGTGAAGGGGGCACAATAGCTACACTGCGAAGGTTGTGATTTATGCAAAAGAGTGTCTAGGGCAGGGGCTTCCACGTCATGAATGAGTGGGTGTACAAAGGGGCTCATTTCGACAGAGCGGGTAATTGGGATGCACGAAATCATGCAAGTGCATGCGCTCACAATAGCAAAGAGATTCACAGAGAGGGGCGGAAGGGAGAACGAGAAAGGAAGAGACAGAAGAGGGGGTGGAGCGGGAGTGAGGGTCACAGAGGCACAAGGAGGAAGGATGGATATAGGAGGAGATTAGAGCAGACCTTCTTTTTTATGCCCTTGGTTTGGAACTGCTGCCACGTGTTCTGCTTCTTGTTGGTCATCACCTCCAGCATCTCCATCCGCTGCTTCGACTTGAACGCGTGGATCTTCCGCTTCTTCTCTGCTTTCTGCGCAGGGGAGGGGAGGGAGAGGGAGTGGTAAAAGAGCGCAAATGATAAGGGGAAGTGGATAACGGTAGCGATGAGATGGGATAAGGGAGGATACATGGAAGTTAAAAGGAACGACCGAAGAGAGGATAAGGGAGGGGAGGGGGATTGACACGGAGAAACGTGAAAGGAAGAAAGAGACGCTTCAATTTTGAACCGTAAACCGTTAACCCGAAATCACCCCTCTGTACCCCTCCGAACTGCACATACCACATCCTCACCCCGTTGCACCTCTCTCCACCGCACTCACCACGTCCTCTGAGTCTTCCGGTTTGATCCGCAGCTTGAGTGGGATCTCTTTCTTCACCAGCTCCGTCCTGGAAGCTTCCTCCATCTTCCGTTTGAGCGCTCTCCGTGTTTCGTCCGCCTCCCTCTCAACTGCTGCCAGTGCCTCCTGCGCTCTCTTCCTCGCATCCTCCTCACTCTCCTCCACCCGCCGCACTCTCGTCTCCCGGACCTGCATTGTGAGGGCAGCGTTGTGGGGCCTAGTCAGCGAGGCAAAAGGGAGATGGAGCGTGTTGGAGGTGCCTCCTGCGCTCTCTTCCTCGCGTCCTCCTCACTCGCCTCCACCTGCCTCACCCTCGTCTCTCGGACCTGCAAGGATGGGGGTCAAGCCCACAAGCGAGAAAAAACCATCTGCAAGCAAGGTTTGCCTCTCATGTGACAATGACATAACTCAGGTGACATGAGAGGAATGCCTCCTGAGCTCGCTTCCCCGCGTCTTTCTCACTCTCGTCTCGCACACCTGCCGGGTTGTGAGGGCGAGGTGAAATCTGTCAACGGCTTGACGAGACTGCTTGAGTGCCTTTTGGGGCCAGCATTGTGGGGGCTACGTGGTTGGTGAGGCCAAAGGCAAGGTGGTGATGCCAAGGCAAGGTTGCAGGGCCATGCCAGTAATCAGGAAACAAGTAAAATGGTTCACAACAGTGTCCCCCTGCTGTGGGGTGAGATGTCAATTGTAATGCATACCGTGATGTGAACGACGCGGAGCGTGAGGAGAGAGAGGAGAGTGAGAGAGTGCGAGCATTACCTCGTGCATCTGACCCCCTGCATCGCGAACCACGTAGCCCCCTGTTGTGACACTGTCCACCACGCCCTCCCGCCTGGAAGGGAGTAGAGTGAGGGGAGAGTAAGAGGAGAGCGAGGGGAGAGTGAGGGGGGAGTAAGAAGGGAGTAAGAGAGAGGGGAGTGCAACGCGAACCACATAGCCCCCTGTTGTGACGCTGTCCACCACGCACTACCGCCAGGGGGAGAGTGAAAGAGTGGCGGGGAGGAGCGTGCAAAGAAAGTGATAGAGTGGCAGTGACGAATGAGGGACAGAGTGGAAACTAAGGGAAGCCACTCAGTGAACAAGAGGTGACTGAATCGAAAACCCAATGAGCTGCCTGGACGGACCTTAAATAATCAAGCATCCTTCCGTACCAAGCGTTCCTTCGTACCAAGCGTCCCTCCATACCAAGCCACCCACTGTACCAAGCCACCCACCACCAATCCACCCACCGTACCAACCAAGCCACCCACCATACCAAGTCATCCACTGTACCGAGGCTCCCATCTTTTTGCCCGTCACGCCAGCCACAGAAGCCTGAAGGCCCATCGTTATGCCTGCGTGCACTGCTGCGCCCTTTGTGTCAGGGACAAGAAAACCCTGGGACCCTACCAGGCCTACCACCCCCCTCACCACTTGCAGCTCCTAATGGCCGCAGCAGCAGCGCCCTTCGCTGCCAGCCCCCATACTGCTTGCACTGCATTGGCCATAGTGTCAGTGCCAGTCAATGACAGAGCCTGTAACCGTTTAGGGTTCTCTCACCACTCCGAGCTCCGTATGCCCCCAGTAGCAGTGCCCGCTGCCAGCCCCCACGCCGCCTGCACCGACGTGCCGACTGCAATGCGAGACGATGCTGCTCCTGGGCCCCCTGCTGTGGCGGCCGTTGCTGCTGCTGCTGCTGCTAGGGCTGCTGGGTCGGCAGTCTGAAAGGCGACGGTTGGGATGGAAGCGGAGGAAGTATGGTAAGTCAGGGATTCGTGGAAAGGCCAGGTGAGGGCTTGTCACCGGAAGTGAGAAGTGAGAAATGGAATGGCTAAACGATCAACGGTGATAGTGCCATGCTGGCACTTACAACAGGATAAGTGGCAGTAGCCGCAGCAGCGGCAGGCACAAAGGCCATGGGGGTAAAAGGAGCGGCGGCAGCTGCGGCTGCTGCTGCTGCTGCATCTGGTGGTTGTTCCTCCTGCGACTGCTGCTGTGCGGCACTCAAGAGATCCTCGGTGAGCTCAATGACCTGCATGGGGCGATGAGTGGAATGTGTGTGGTCATAGTCTGAATGCAGCGAGAGAAAGTGTGTGGAACGGTATGTGCGCTTGATTAACCAGAGAACTAGGTTTTTTTAACAAGGAAGGCGTGTTTTCCTTACAGAACTAAACCGGGTTGTAGCAAAAAAGGGTGATGTGTAAGTTTGGAGTTAAGAGGGAGTTGGTGTGATGAGGGTGCGCGAAGGTCCCACTCACCTCCTTGAGCCCACTGGCCATCTCCTTGTACTCGTCATTGTCAGGATCCTCTATAAGCAGCTCTGACACCTGTAGGGGCAACGCAGAATGCATTGTACAGGGATGTCGGAGGAGGCGACTAAATGAATGAGAGAGTGTGTGACGGCATGCAGGCACTGGATCACTCATCTCTGTGCATGGCTTTCGCTCGATCTATGATGTGCTCCACACCCCACACCTCCACCACCACAACATCATGGTGAGACGTACCATGGTTGTTTGTAACGCCATTAACTCCATTGTACCATGGTTGTTTGTAACGCCATCGTATCGTACCATGGCTGTAACGCCATCACACCATGGATGGCTGTAGTGGCTGTAACGCCATTCTCGTCTCACGTGCTCCTCCCCACACCTCAGACTTCTACTGTCCCCGTTATAGTCTCACCTGCTCCTGCTCTCGCCTGCTCCAACTGCTCTCACCTGCTCCAACTGCTCTCGCCTGCTCCAACTGCTCTCGCCTGCTCCAACTGCTCTCGCCTGCTCCAACTGCTCTCGCCTGCTCCAACTGCTCTCGCCTGCTCCAACTGCTCTCACCTGCTCCAACTGCTCTCGCCTGCTCCAACTGCTCTCGCCTGCTCCAACTGCTCTCGCCTGCTCCAACTGCTCTCACCTGCTCCAACTGCTCTCGCCTGCTCCAACTGCTCTCGCCTGCTCCAACTGCTCTCGCCTGCTCCAACTGCTCTCACCTGCTCCAACTGCTCTCGCCTGCGCCAACTGCTCTCGCCTGCTCCAACTGCTCTCACCTGCTCCAACTGCTCTCGCCTGCTCCAACTGCTCTCACCTGCTCCAACTGCTCTCGCCTGCTCCAACTGCTCTCACCTGCTCCAACTGCTCTCACCTGCTCCAACTGCTTCACCTGCTCCAACTGCTCTCACCTGCTCCAACTGCTCCTTGTATGTGGTGAGGTTCTCCCGAAGCTCGTCCACGCTCTGCATGCTGCCTGGCTGGGGGGAGGGGAAGGGAGGGGAGAGGAGGGGAGGGGAGGGGAGGGGAGGGGAGGGGAGGGGAGGGGAGAGAAGGGGGGTAAGGGGGAGGGGAGGGGAGGGAACAAGCATGCTGAAACATTCTAAAAGGTTCTTCTGAAGCCCGTCAATGTTCTGTTCTTTGGCGGAACAGAGGGGAGGGGGGGGAGGGACTGGGGAGGGATTGTGGGGGAAGGGTTGGTTCGTATGGCGCCTCGGGAATCGGGTTTGTGAGGGGAGGGTTGGATTCTGAAATGCATGTGGAATTTCTCAACGGTGCTCTTCCGGCGCTCACTGGCGCTCTGCATGCTGCCTGGATGGGGGAGGGGGAAGGGCCGAGGGTGAGGCAGGGAGGTGGGCGCGGAAGGAGAGAAGATGGGGGTTGGGTTGGAGGGAACGTACTCAGACGGCTCAAGATCTGCTCGAAGGCTGTCTAGTGCTCTGCTCTCTAATCTGGCTGCCTTCTGGGGGAAGGGGGGAGACCGGGGTTGGGGGGAAAGTGGAAGGGACGGGGTCGGGAGGGAGAGGGGAGGGGAGGCGGAAAAGGGGTGGAGGGATGGCGGGGCGGGCGGGAGGGAACGATAGAGGGGAGCGCGACAGCAGACTTGGGGGAGAGCAAAGAAGGGATAAACCTGAACCTGAACCTGAACCTGAACCTGAACCTGAGCCTGAGCCTGAGCCTGAACCTGAACCTGAACCTGAGCCTGAGCCTGAGCCTGAACCTGAACCTGAGCCTGAGCCTGAGCCTGAACCTGAACCTGAACCTGAGCCTGAGCCTGAACCTGAACCTGAACCTGAGCCTGAACCTGAACCTGAACCTGAGCCTGAACCTGAACCTGAGCCTGAACCTGAGCCTGAACCTGAGCCTCCTAAACAGTCCATATGCTACGCTTCTTTCACGTTCCTTCCAGCGCGCCGAATGTGCTGAGGATTGGCGACAGGGGTGAGGGTAGAATGGGGAAGGGGAGATCGCATGGAGCATATCGCGGTGCCAAGGAAGTCCGTAATGGCTCAGGTTTCGAGAATAGTCACCTCGCGATGGAACTTGCCGCTTAATCGACTGATTATATGAGCCCAGCTCGTTACCCAATAACGTCAGCCCTCCTCACGCGACAGATACAGGGCCAGCCCTTCCTCGCGAGGCAACTAGACCGCAGCAGCTTGTAACGGATCAGCAGGATGTGGCTTGTATGTTGCGTGAAAGTGAGAACGACGAAAATACTGTTCGAGTAAATCGGTGTCAATCCGTGATCAGCGGGTGCAGGGCGAACGTCCTAGGGAGTGTTCAAGAAGTTCGATTCTGAAAACATTTCCCCAGCTTGTTTCATCGGCTCATTCTAGATGTGAGTGGACTTGAGTTCGCTGATTTTAGGGTAGAATAGGTCGCGAAATCGCTCTTCGCTATTCTAGCCTAAAATAGTTTCTACACTTTGTTCGGACGGGCTTGGGCTCCACGAAAACTGTCACCACACAAAAACTGCAACAGAATTCAGTTCCAAAACCTAAGGCACCACGCCCTCTCCAAGCTCCGATATTTCTAGCGGATAGTTTTCCTGGGCCAGTGTGCGGCGGACATCAGATTAGAAAGACTTCGAAATCGACACCCACAAAGTCCACTCATCCGTGCTCGTATCCCTCTACAGCAGTCACCTTCATTACCCGCCTTTCACTCCTCACCGCACACTCTTCCGCACCGATAACCTCGCCACGCGCTCGTGCCGCCATGATCTCGGCTCACGAGCTCAAGGAGGTCGACTCACTGGAGCGGCAATTAAAGCCCATCGCCGGTAAACGCGGCGGAGGTCCCGAGGTACGCGCTTCGTAACCTCTAGCTCCCCGCGATCTCCTGTGTGCCTCAATCGACGGAGTTATTTCTGGCGAATCCGTGCTATCCGTGTCCGGTTCCGCCGGTTCGAATCTCGCGGCACTGTGCGCTGATCGGCTGGGTCACAACGCACGGTGTGAGTTTCAGACTAGGCTAGGTCGCAGCGCATCGCGGATGAGCACAGGGTTTGCCGGAAGGCATGATGCATACTGCTACCAGAATGGCTGGGGCGGCAGATTCGATGTTGCTGCCCTAAGGGCTGGGGCGGCAGCTTCGATGTTCCAACACAGCCCACGCCCCTGGCGTCTGCGTGTCTCCTTGAGGGACTTCGAGATGGCGCATTTCTGAGAGGCACACAGCTCTTCTCTGTGTCGTGGGTTGCTCCAAACGGATCTGCCAACATATTGTCTCCCTGCCTCCTCTCTCCCCCGCACCCGCTTCTCCCTCCCTCTTCCCTCCCCCCATATATGTACTTTTCCCCCTTTAACCCTCCCCCTGTCCCCCCCACCCACGCCCAGACGTGCGGCGGCTGCGTGTCTTTTAGCCCTCCCCCATGTACGTAAACTTCCGCCTCTCCCTCCCCCCCCCCCCCCTCCCTTCCCGCCTCTCCCCTCCCAGACGTGCGCCAAGTACCTACGTGAGGTGCGGCGGCTGCGGCTGCGGCGGCCGTTTCAAGTGGCGGAGTATGGCATGGCGCTGATCAACAGCACGGAGGAGAGGGGGAAGCTGGGGGATGAAGGTGAGGAGGCTTATAAGGGGTATGACTGCTTATCAGGGGTATGGAGGGGTTTCAAGTGGCGGAGTATGGCATGGCGCTGATCAACAGCACAGAGGAGAGGTTGGAGCTGGGAAACGAAGGTGAGGAGGCTTATAAGGGGGATGCCAGCTTATAAGGGGTATGGAGGGGTTTCAAGTGGCGGAGCATGGAATGGCGCTGATCAACAGCACGGAGGAGAGGGGGGAGCTGGGAAATTAAGGTGAGGAGGCTGGGTTTTGGTGCTTATAAGGAGTATGGTTGGGTAGAAGTATGTCATGGAAGTGATGCGGAGGGGTATTGGAGGGTGCTGATTTTTTTGAACTGGCAAAGATAGATTCTACAGTGTGCTTGACCTTTGTCGTCCGATGTTGTTTTCTGCGACTTCACCCAGACTTCGTTTCGCACTTTCTCCTGCTCCCTCATGACATGCCAATCTCCCCGCCGTCGATTGACTTGAGGGGGAAGTGCGATGTTGTTTTCTGTCCCCTCATGCCAATCTCCCCGCCTTTTTCCTTCTCAAACCACTCCTGTTGCTGCATGGCATGGTGTCTCATCCCATCTCACCTCCTCACCGTGCCACACCACACTGCACCATGTGCTTCAATGCACTGTGCCACATGGCACCATGTTCCCTCCCCGTCCCCCCTGCACCGCGCTGCACCATGGTCAGTGTGGGATGTGATGGAGCAGGTGGCCATCGCCGCCATGGACTGCCATCAGCTCAGCATCGCCAAGGTGAGCGTGGCATGGCATGTGCAGAGGGTGGGTTCCAGAGAAGGGTGGGGCATGGGGGGGAGGGTTGGGGCATGGGGGGCCATGGGAGGGCGTTACAAGGTGCAGGTCGCCATGCTGCCATGGACGGCCATCAGCTCAGCATCGCCAAGGTGAGGGCGGCACTCGCAGACGGTGGGATACAGGGAAGGGTGGGGCATGGGGAGGGGGGTGGGGCATGGGAGGCCATGGGAGGGCGTTACAAGGTGCAGGTCGCCATGCTGCCATGGACGGCCATCAGCTCAGCATCGCCAAGGTGAGGGCGGCACTCGCAGACGGTGGGATACAGGGAAGGGTGGGGCATGGGGAGGGGGGTGGGGCATGGGAGGCCATGGGAGGGCGTTACAAGGTGCAGGTCGTTACGCTGCCATGGAGTGCCATCAGCTGGGCATCGCCAAGGTGAGACGAGGTGGCTGGGAGGCCTGATGTGGGCGACCATGGCCACACGGAGTGGGTCGGGCGCGTGGGGTAGGGTATCCAGGCGAGAGGGGCAGAAGGAAGGAGCAGGTCTTCTGTTGCTGCCTTGCCGTGGATGGAGTGCTGCTGACTGGCCAGAGGCACCAAGGTGAGAGGGTGCTTGTGTCTGTGGGTTTTCAGATTTCATGATTGCATTCTTCCATCCAACACCACCGCTCTTAACCACGTATAACCGCTTGAATCTTATGGCTGCCTGGCAGGAGTGCATCGGGGCTCTCATGATTGCATTCCCCAACAGCACGCGCGTGGGTGAGTCAGTGCACCGCCCACCACCGCACCTCACCACTTTTCACCGCACCCAACATCTCTCGTCTCTCGTTGCATCGCACTTCACCCCTCGTTCCACCACCTTTCACGGCACGTCCTTCACCAGTCTAGCCTTCACCTGTTGTTAGCCATGATAGAAGGGAGCAGCACTCCGCCCTCCCTCATCATTCACCACTCCGCCCTCCCTCTCCTGTCCTCTCTCTCCCCACTCCTCTCTCTCCCCACTCCTCTCTCCCCCCACTCCTCTCTGCCTCTTTTTCTCTGGCGATCCCACGCGGCCTTATTTGCATTGCCCTCTTTCTGTGCATTGATGTTCCAACCAGCCACCCAATTATGATGTATTCTGAGCGCTGCCTACTGCGGTGTGCTATGGTGTGCTGTGCGCTGGGTGCTGTGTTACTTGTGCTGCACTATTCCCTGTGCTCTTTCTACTCTACTCTGCAGGTCGGTTGGAGGGCATGTGGATGGAGGCCAAGGGGTGGTGGGACCAGGCAGACAGGACAGGGTCTAAGTGGGCTGGGACTATAATGAGTGGCTTGCTTGGTCAATTCGCGTGGTGTGCTGTTTAATCTGCAGGTCGGTTGGAGGGCATGTGGCTGGAGGCCAAGGGGTGGTGGGACCAGGCTGACAAGGTTTACAGTGAGCTACTGGAGAACAACCCACAGGACCAGGTGTGCTCTTGTTATTCGTAAGTCTGTTAGTTAGTTTGTCTGTTCTTCGTGCGTAAAGGGAGTGCTGACCTACCTGCTATGGATGAATTGATGGCATCCAAGCGACCACTGTGCAAGCTGCTGACTCGTGCATACCCTGCGATGACTGGTGAACATTCCATGAGGTTATTCAACAGCAGCGTGCCCGCGGGGTTAATCAGTTGCAGCGTGCCCGCGGGGTTAATCAGTTGCAGCGTGCCCGCGGGGTTAATCAGTTGCAGCGTGCCCGCGATGACCTATGGGAGTTTAAGGAAGGCAGTGGAGGTGTGCGATGCAAAGGCGCTTGACGCCAGCTTGCGCGCTGCACAGTGTGTCGCTGCAAGCTTAGCTGGTGTCAAGCTTAGCTGGTGTCAAGCTTAGCTGGTGTCAAGCTTAGCTGGTGTCAAGCGTTCCCTGTCAGACCTCTGCTGCTTTTCTTACCCTTGCATGATGCTTGCCCGCTCTTCACCTGCAACACATCGCACTGGCCCTACTCTTCCCATTCACAATAACCTGGTTGTGATACGTCTCAAAATTAGATGACTATCCCATGCTTGCCCCCTTCAGCTGCAGGCTCGCTTCAGCTGCAGGCTCGCATCAGCTGCAGGCTCGCATCAGCTGCAGGCTCGCATCAGCTGCAGGCTCGCATCAGCTGCAGGCTCGCATCAGCTGCAGGCTCGCATCAGCTGCAGGCTCGCATCAGCTGCAGGCTCGCATCAGCTGCACGTCGTCTCATTGTCGCTGCAGCTGATCACATGCTTGCCCCTAACTCTCCCCTTCCGTCCTGGTTTCCTCCCGGTTTCCTCCCGGTTTCCTCCCGGTTTCCTCCCTTGTCTTCCCGCCCATCAGCCAGCGCTGAAGCGTCAAGTCCTAGTACTCAGGGCAAAGGCAACACTGTAGGAACAATTAATTGAAACAATGTCTCTTTTTTTTTTACCGTTTGCCTTCTCGTTTGTCCCATTCCTCTCCCCTTCCGTCCCTTCCATCCCCCATTCTTCCCTTCCCTCTTTTCCCCCTCAGCCAGTGCTGAAGCGCCAAGTGGCAGTGCTCCAAGGCAAGGGCAACACTGTAGGGGCCATTGAAACGCGCCTCTCTTCCCTTCTTCCCTTCTGCCCGCCCTCTCTTCCCGTCCCTCACCCCTCTCCTCTGGTGCGCATCCCCTACGTCAGCCAGTGTTGAAGCGCCAAGTGGCGGTGCTCAAAGGCAAGGGCAACACCGTGGGGGCCATTGCTGCTTTGAAGAAGTACCTTGAAACGTAAGGCATACATGAATGCAGTGACGTGTGAAGACTGAAGAAGTGTGAAGTACTTGAGAGTGCACTCTGCCGCCCTCGCTGGGAGAGAGAGAGGCTCCCTTCTTCTAGTAGTATATCAACACGCCTTCATGGTGGGCCACAGTGGGCCACAGCCTTCATGGTGGGCCACAGCCTGCTTGCTGCGGACAACCCATAGGTGCATGTCATGCTACACGAGGCATGGAAGTCGATCGGACGTCTCTCTCATGCCTCTCCTTCATTTCTCCTCCCTTCTCTTTATCCCTCTCCCTACCCTCTTCCCTTCCTCCTCTTCCCCTCCCCCCCCCCCTCGTCGCCAGCTACATGGCGGACTACGAGGCATGGAAGGAGCTGGGAGACCTCTACGTCAGCCTTCACATGTATGTCATTCGAAATGCGTGCCCTCCTATTTTATGGGAGCATGCGCCCAAATACATACGGTACCATATGGTGCATGAGCTAGGAGGCGTGTACGTCAGCCTTCGCATGCATGTTCTCCATGATGCCGTCTCTCTTATCGTATGGAAGCTTTCGTCCTCCACTTGTGGTATTATCATACCATATGGAACATGAGCTGTGAGACGTCTACACAAGTGTGCACATGTATGTTGTGATGCCACCTTTTACTGTTGTGTGCTCATGCTTGGATCATCGCTCTCTTATTATCTCCATTCCCTCTTCGCTCATCTACTGGCAAGTCCGTTCTTGAGATGACTTAAGTCGCCCCTCTTCCATCCCGATTCGCTGCCCCACCCCTTTACACCCAATCTGTTCACACCCCTCACCATTTTTCACACCCCTCACCATTTTTCACACCCCTCACCATTCTTCACACCCCTCACCATTGTTCACACCCCTCACCATTTTTCACACCCCTCTCCATGGCTTCATTCTATTCTTCTTGCCCCGTCTATACTACCCACTCTCTTACTCTTGTTCACTTCACTCCCACTCCTCTTCCCCTGTTCGAGGTTCAAGTATGCAGGCTGGCAGATCTGCTATGAGGAACTGTCGTCGCTCCTATCCTCATCCTGCCTTTACCTCAACCCCCTTTTCTTAGCACAACTCCCCTTTCCCCCGCGCCTCTCCTACCGCCTTGCCTTTCAGGTTCAAGCAAGCAGCATTTTGCTATGAGGAGCTGTTGCTGTCTGCCCCTGTCAACCCCATCTACCACGTCACTTATGCGGAGGTATTGGGTGGTACAGAGTGGTGCAGAGTGGTGCAGAGTGGTTCAGAGCGGTTCAGAGTGGCATCCTGTGAAGCATGAGAGAGTGTGGTGGGACCATTCACACCACCCCATCCACCTTGTCATTCTTGCCGAGTTACTGAGTGGTTAAGAGTGGTGCAGAAGAGTGGTATGGAGTTGCAATCCCTCATGACCTTGCGACTATGTTTGTTGTGCTGAGATATGCCATGGTATTTGTGGCCTGAGGCACCTCATTCTATGCGTGCTATGGTAGTATGGTGAAGGCAAAGGTGAGGGGAAGGGAAAGGGGAAGGGAAAGGTCCTGTATAGCTGCTTTCTCATCATCTCAGTCAGCTGTCTCTGTCTCACTCCCTTTCCCCCTTCTTTCTCCAGATCCTCTATTCTATAGGCGGGGCAGAGAACTACCGACAGGCCATGTCGCACTACTCTGCTGCGATAGAGTACAGTGGAGGCACCAACCTGAGAGCGCTCTATGGCACCTGCATGGTGAGACTTGCTTGCATGGTGAGATGTGCTTGCATGGTGCGAGGTGGTTGCATGGTGCGAGGTGCTTGCATTGAGTGCCATGATGAGCACTTATTGTTACAAGGAGCACCAAGTATGACAATGTTGCTGCACGGATAGGGGAACCACCTGTGATGTTACCACATGATTGGATGGTTGTGATTCACAGTAAGGGCGTATTCCTACGAAGTTGCATCAGAATCAACAATCCCAAATTCATTATTGATCCCGCAGCCGGTCTATAACGCCAAGATAAAACACGAGGACGGCCACCTCAGCGTCGCACCAACGCCGCTGATTGGCAGCCGCTCGGTGTGCATGAGTGCATATCTGTGCACTCGTGCTTGTGTGTGCACGAGTGCATCTGATGCATGCACGACCCCCTACCCATGGATATGCGTATTTGTGCATGTGCGCGTGCTTGAATGCAGACATCAGCAGCGTTGCGCAGTGCAGGCAAGCCATCCCGAGGGGCGGCAGCAGTGGAGAGTGAACCGGAGGGGTTGGTGGAGACAGCAGCAGAGGCGATAAAGCAGGAGTACCGCTTCAAGCGCCATGAGCTGCTCAAACCTGTAGTGGAGCCCACTCTAGCGAAGCTTGTATCATGATATGTCGTATAAGATCACGATCTATCAATATAGAGGGGCAGCATTGAAATCGGAGGGGTGAGTAGTTGAGAGTGGTGGAAGCTGTATGCTTACACTCCAGCATTTTATGCGTAAAATTGTGGAGACTCAATTTAGCACGCCTAAGGTATTTTGCCTCATGCCATGGGTGATATCACCACCAGTAGGCAAATTCCCAACATGCTAGGCATTTCTTCAAATGAAAGATGGTTCTGCCAGGGCCTACTTTTGGATTTTTACTACTCTGATATTGGGGAGTGGCATTTTGCACTACTATGAAAATCAGAGTGCATCCTCACAGTTTCTCTGATTTGCCAGGGTTTTTTTCCATTTTGAAAAATTTACACTGATAGTGCAGAGGGGAAATTTCCACAACTCTGTTCTGCTGTTGTGCACCCCGACAAAGGTTGAGGGGATTTTGTGGTTGGTCCGATCCGATAGACGTACGTTTCATTTCAAATACACATACATACATTAGTCACCATGCTCACCACCCTCTGAGGCACTCTCACAAGAGCCACTGTCCTCCTCTGACTCATCGGACTCATCATGCTCCTTGCCCTTGGCAGCATCGCTGCTCCTCTCATAAGCCACTACTTTTGCCTGTCTGCGGTTCTTCTGGCGTCTCCAGATCTCCACGATCTCCAGGAGGCTAATGGTCATCAGATCATCACTTCTTCTGGTAGTCCATGTCGTACTCCAGGAGGCTAATGGTCATCAGGTCGCCGAGTCTTGCGTCACACAGGCTCGTCCTCAGCCAGCTCTTGACGGCGTTCTGCCTGCTGAAACCGCGCTCGCATTCGACGGTGCTCAAGGGCAGAACCGCCATCGCCTGCCAGATCTTCATGAGATTCGGATAGCTCTTGGCCCATTCCATCGTCTTCAGCATGTTGGCGAGGCCTTGGCCGAAGTCGTCATCAGCACGGTGCGTCTTCATGATGTGACAGAACGTCTTTAACTCCAGCTCAGTTGCTCGACCATCCACTCCTGTGGAAGCGCTCGGGCGGGATTCGAGACATGGAAAGCGAAAACATCGATTAAGAACCATGGTGGTGTTGCCTCCGTTTAATAAAACATGGATAAGTCTGGTTGAAGCGACGCTTCCTTTCCTAGGCAGACGCAGGAGTTGAGGCAGGAGTTGATGCCGTTGATGTGGACGCAGGAGTTGATGCAGAGACAACAGGTACAACTGAAGGTTCGGCGACAGGACCTTCAGCGTCAACCATAGCCTCTAAATTTCTGTCCCATTCCTCACTACTGAGAGAAGGCAGAGGCTGTGGCTCAACTGGAGCGGTAGCAACTCGACGGAGAAAGTCGAGCCCGCTAAGAGGGAGCGATCTAGGAGTTCGCAGAAGGACAGACTCATCGCCACCGCCATCGTTGGGCTCACTCGTGCCAGCCATGACGGCAGTCGCACGAGTGACGACGGGCGGCAGCGACAGCGAAGGTAAGCGGAGGTTTTCTTCTGCTAGGACGTTGTGAGAGATAGATTTGGTGAAGGGGAGGAAGGGAAGGTTGAACAAGACGAGGGTTTCGTCTGCTCTTCTTGGGGGTGAGTGAATTGTGGGGCGCCTCGAAGTGGGTGAGGGAGTGAGGTCGGTCGTGCATGCATGGATGGTGGCTAAGGTCGGCGTGCGGTGGTGAGGGAACTGCTGCCAGCCTTGCAGTGATGCTGCAGTCGTGACTAATCAGCGCGAAGGATGCTGCCAGTGTTAAAGTAAGAACTGAATAATGAACTAGAAGTAGAAACCAAGAACAAATACTAGTTGGTTGTACTCACTAGAAGCATACCCCAGTCTTGCCTATAACTTGTACACAGCTAATATGTATAAGTTGACACACCCCCTAGGCTAGACAAGGGGTGAAGCTAAGCAAGAAGCAAACAGCTCAGGGTGGCACTACTAGTCCAACCACTGAGGCAGGGGTCTGGAGACCAGTCAGCAAGGGTACAAACAAGACTAAAGCAAGCCAGGGCGGCTTGGCGGCGCTGCTGTAGCTCGCGCAGGAGGAAGTACCGCAGCTGGATATGCTTCGCTCTGCCCTCAAGCCGAGGCTCCTGACACAGGAGTATCATGGCCCTGTTGTCAGCGTACAGGACCGGGGCAGAGCTAGGCCGCTCACCTAAGTCTGTGAGCAAGAAGGTCAGCCAGCGGAGCTCCTGTGCCGCCATGGCACCAGCGTAGATCTCAGCCTCACAACTGGACTGAGCCACAGATAACGCGCGAATGGATCTCCAAGAGATAGCACCCGAACCAAGGCTAAAGTAGTAGCCCTGCGACGACCTGAGCGTCTCAGAGTCGTCTGCCCAAGAAGCGTCTGTGTGCCCAATAAGGACCACTGGCCTGCGTCCTCCTAGCACTAACCCCATGCCCGATGTACTAGCAAGATAACGCAAAACCCTCTTAGCGGCAGACCAGTGCTGAGGTCGGTGTCTGCCTGTAGCCACAAAGCGAGCCAGTATGCTGAGAGGGTATGCAAGATCTGGGCGAGTGCAAGTCATCAGGTACATGAGGCAACCCACCAGCTCTGCATAGGGGCCACTGGGCTCTACTGGCTCCTCAGGAACGGGAGCAGAGAGCCCATGGTCTACAGGTAGAGGTGTGGGCTATGCGGAGGAGAACTGAAGACCGAACCTTTGAAGGACCTGACGCACCAAGTGTGACTGTGTCAGGGTGATGGTGCGTGCTGCTCTGTCCCTAGAGATCTGCAGGCCAAAATAGTGACGCAGCTCTCCAAGGTCAGTGCAGGTGTGTCTCTTTAGCAGCTCGGCCTTCACAGAGGCCAGTGTGTCCCTGTCAGCAGTAGCGAAGACCAGATCATCTACGTAGACAAGGATGTAGAACGGAGTCTGGCCGGAACGCACAAACAGCGAGGGGTCAGCAGAGGACGGAAAGAACTGCAGGTCTGCTAACGTGGCCCGCAGCGTGTCGTGCCACTCGCGAGGAGCCTAACGCAGGCTGTAGACCGGGCGCCTGAGAAGCCACTGGGTCCCAGGGGGGAAGGTACGAGTGAAGCGCTGTGGTCGGCGCAGGTAGACCTGCTCGTGTAGGCTGCCCTGAAGAAAGGCAGTAGAGAAGTCGAGGGAGTGAAGCTCGTAGTCGCGCTGTGCTGCTACATTTAGCAGCGCCCGAAGAGTGGTCATCTTCGGGGTCGGGGCGAAGGTCTGGAAGAAGTTAACCCCCTCGCGCTGACTGAAATCTCTGGCAACGTAGCGCGCCTTGAAGACAGGCGGCTCTCCAGGGGGGCGCTTCACCTTGAAGAGCCACCGACCATCGACTACGTTCACCCCAGGCGGGGGAACTGCGTTGACGTAAGTGCCTGTGGACCTCCAAGATGCCATCTCCTGCTCCATGGCAGCTGTCCACTGAGAGCCCCAAGGTCCCGAGACCGCCTCAGCGTAGGTGCGAGGGGTCGGGATGTCGAAGGCGTCTGGGTCACCCTCAGGGACTAACAGCATGGAGCAGAGATGGGGAGTAGCCTCGTAAAGGAAAGCAAGCTCGTACTGCCTGTCCTCTAGGACGTCACTGCCAAGGGCAGGAACACCCCCAACGGACGGAGGACGGGCAGGGTCAGAGACCAGAGCGGTAGCGTAGTCAAGGCGCCGAGTAGAGGCAAAGTCAGCGACAGCAGCGACAAGCGCGTCAAGGCGCGAGACAGGAACAGCAGGGTCGGTAACAAGAGAGGCAAGGACCCGAGGGACAAGGGGACGAACAGCACGGAGGTAGTCAGAGAACGGAGGAGGTGCAACAGCAAGGAACGAGGGAGGAGGGGACGGGAGGAGGGGAGGACGAGACGAGCGGGAACGGAGCAACATAGGGTGGGAGCGCAGGACAGGAGAGACGGGACGAGCACGGGAGGGACAGCGAGACCAAACGTGAGACGGAGGTGTAGGGTCAGGGGACAGTGGAGGGGACACAGGACAGGGAACGAGGGGGAAGACGGGCCGGAGACGAGTCTGGCGGCGGGAACACAGGACAGTAGACAGGAAGGTCAGCAGGCGGCGGGGGAGACACCGGCACGCGGTCAGGGGAGGGAAGGCCGAGCAGGCGGAGAGCGGAGACCGGCGGCGATGGCTGTTGCGGCTACTGCGACGGCTGGGCCGGAACCCTCGGACCGGTAGAGGCAGGACGACCGTCGGCAGAACACTCAACAGCAGCACCCCCAGAACCAACACCCCCAGAGCGAGAACCCCCTCCAAAACCAGCGGCACCCCCAGGAGCCGCAGGACGAACACCCTCCTCAACGCCAGCACCCCCAGGGACCAAGAGCGGCGGAGGCAGTGGCGGCGACGACAGCTGCGGCGGCGGCAGCGGCGACAGTGGCGGCGGCGGCGGCTGCGGCGGGGTCGGCGACTGCGACACTGGAGGCGGAGACACCAGGGAAGGGGGACGCGACAAGGACGGGTCGGGGGTACCACCAGAGTCAGCAGACTCCTCAACGGGGACAACCGACGGGAGGGGAGTGACGTGAGAGACACCAGACGGGGCATGACGACGCGGGAGAGGGGCAGGGGCTACCGGGGGAGAGGGAGCAAGGAACAGGGGGGGGGCAAGCGAGAGACCTCGGTGAGGGAAGCGGCGGTAGAAGGAGACATACTCATCAAAGGTGACGTCACGAGAGTGGAGGAAGCGGTGAGACGACGAGTGGTAGAAAAGCCAGTCAGACGAGTCCAGGGGGAAACCGAGGAAGACACAGGGGACAGTGCGGGCAGTGAGCTTGTCCGTGCCAGAGGCACGAACGTTAGCAAGGCAGCCCCGGACGTGGAACGCAGACGCGTCACCGGGGGACCCGGTCCAAAGGAGGGTCGGCGAAACCTGCGGCCGCTGGGAGCGTGGCCACAGGTTAAGCTGGTGAGCAGCGTAGCGAACAGCGAATGGCCACAGAAAATGGGGGGCATCGGCATGAATCATGGAGGTACGGGCAACCTCTATGACCAAACCAAGCCGATGCGGCGCTCAGCAACCCCATTCTGTTGTGGCGAGTCCGGCAAGGTGTACGACTGGGTGATGCCCTCCGCACGACAGAACTGTCCAAGCCGACCAGAGGCGAACTCGCCGCCACGGTCAAAGTGGAGACACAACACGGGGAGACCGCGCTGAAGACGCGCAGCTACGACCCACGGGAGAAGAACGTCGGGCACGTCGGCCTTCCGCTCCAGGGGAAACACCGTGGTGTAGCGCGTGTAGTCGTCAACGAGCACATGGGAGTAGCGCTCACCTCGCGGTCCAGGTGCAGGGTCTGAAAGGGGGCAGTAGCTGGGCTCAGCGAGGAGGAGTGAGGAGAGCGGCGGAGCCGGCCCTCGACGCACGGCGTGCACGGTGGCGCAGTCGAGGGAGGAAGGGCAGGGAGCGACGCAGGGAGAACTAAGACAAGACCGTGGTGGGACATGTGACGCAGACGTGGGAGTGCAGGGTGACCTAGGCGGTGGTGCCAGAGAAGGGAAAGGTGAGTGAGGGACCGACACGAGCAAGCTGCAGCGACCTGGGAGGACGCACCAACCGGGGGGAAGCGGTATCTAGGGTGAACAGACCGGACACCGGGTCCCAGGGGAACGTCGCAAGGGGGGAACCTGAGACAGCCTCGGTACAGACATCGAACCGCTCGTGCCCGGGGAACGTGGTGGTGACGCCGAGGTCCTGGAGACAGCCGACACCAACCAGGTTCCTCGAGAACGAGGGAACGTGGAGACCTGTAAGGGAGCCCGAGGGAACTGCTGGACAGGGAAGGGACGTAGAACTGCGAGCGACGACAGGACCCGCAGAGGGGTCAGCGAGAGAGACAACAGCAGGCGTAGCAAGCGGCGTGAGCGCGGAACGGTCGCGGAAGAAGCAGGCAGAGGCACCGAAGTCGAAAGTGAAGGATAGCGAAGCATCGGCAGAGGCCGGGAACAGAGGAGGTGCAGAGACTAGGCTAGGCAAACGATGCAGTCCTACGCCTGACGCAGCAGGGGAGCCTGAGCTACACAATGGTGCAACACCTAAACTAGAGTACACAGGGTAATAAGATCCAGTAACACTAGAAGCGTCAGAATACAAGGCATGCAAAGCAACACCTATCTGATCCATGTCTAACTCAAAGATCGGCACGCCCTGGCGGAGCAGGCTGTGCCAGTCGGGGAGGTCCGGGGCAGGGCCAAAGCGACGACGAAAGAGATCGTCGAGGCGGCGGAAATAGCGGGCGGTCGGGTGCGGGCGGCGGCACAAAGTGCCACGAAGAGGCCCGGTCTGAAGCTGGTACTGGCAAGTGACAGCACCGGAGCCGCCGGTGGACACCGAGCTGCGCGGGCCGCCACCACGGCCACTACCTCCGGAGGTGCCGGGCCAACCAGGCGGGAGACCGGCCCAAGGCTGCGGCGGCTGCTGCTGGGGCTGCTCCTGCTGCGGCTGGGGCTGCTGCTCCTGCCCACTAGTGGTAGTCCCCTCAGGCGGACTACCGTTACGACCACCACCACCTGCGCCACCACCCCTACCTCCCTGGCGACCACGGCCACCGCGGCGTGAGCGTTGCTGCGGTCCACCCGCAGCAGCCGTCTCGGTGAGAGGGTTCGCCGTGGCGACCGCAGCTGAAACGTCAGTGAACGTGCACTGGGAGGGGGCACAGCCGTGAAAGATAGAGACTGCCGGCGCACCGCTCGACTGAGCGATAGTGCGCTGGCGAGTCTCGATCTCGGTGAGGGTATCGACAAAGGCGGTGAGGGTGAGGTCACCCGGGTGCTGGCTAAGGAAGTGATCGCGAGCACTAGCGAGGCGGTCTGGCAGTCGCATGGCGATAAAATAGAGCGTCATGCAAAAAGGGGGGGGGAGCGCAGTGAGCTGGGCAGCAGTGCTGGCAGTGCGATAGCGGGTCTCTAGGGCACGCAGGTGAGTGGCAAAGTCTGCGACGGTAGGGAAGGCTGCAAGGTCTGGGAACAGTATCGGGAAGAGCAAGCGGCCAGCAGAAGCAGACGCTGGTGTGGAATAGCGAGCAATGACGGCGTCTAAGTAAGCTTTGGCCGTCTCAACAGTAGCAAAATGCGAGCAATCAGACATAGGGAGGGCGTGGCTAATAGCAACCTAAGCGACTGCATCGCGGGAGTCCTAGACCGCACAGGCAAGCGCAGCAGTAGAGAAGGTCTCACGATCATCAGAGGAGGGGTCAGCAGGGAGGGGAGCAGGTGGGGGGGGCGGGGGAGCAAGCCATCGACATGGACAACCAAAGAGTGGCCATCCGGACGCTGACCTGTAAGGTGGCGGCGGAGATCGGAGAGCCAGGCGGCGAAGTCAACCGCATGGCCCTCGACGTCCAGTCGGAGCACGAAGTCAGCCACCGTGCAGGGTCAGCGACACAGCTCCATAGCTCCGCAGGAACACAGCGACGCAGGGACACGGCGGCGGCACTCTCCAGCACGGCGGCCGCGAGGCGCCCCAGCACCGGCGAGCAGAGTAGATGGAGCCCGAGGTGGCACGGCAGGCCGAGCAGGCACGAAGAGGGGCCGGGCGAGCAGTGGGAGAGGCCAGGCAGATGCGGCGGGGCTAGGCCGGCGCGGCAGGGCCAGGCAGGCGCGGCGGGGCCAGGCAGGCGCGGCGGGGCCAGGCAGGCGCGGAGCCAGGGAGGCACGGCAGGGCCAGGCAGGTGCGGCAGGGCCAGGCAGGCGCGGACGGGGCCAGGCAGGCCGCGACGGGGCCAGGCGGGCGTGACGGGGCCAGGCAGGGCGCGACGGGGCCTAGCGGGCGCGACGGGGCCCAGGAGGGGCGTGACGGGGCGAGGAGGTGCGACGGGGCCCAGGAGGGGCGCGACGGGGCTAGGAGGCGCGACGGGGCCCAGGGGGGGGGCGCGACGGGGCTAGGAGGCACGACGGGGCCCAGGAGGGGCGCGACGGGGCTAGGAGGCGCGACGGGGCCCAGGAGGGGCACGACGAGGCCCAGGAGGGGCGCGACGGGGCTAGGAGGCACGGCAGGGCCCACGAGGGGCGCGACAGGGCTAGGAGGCGCGACGGGGCCCAGGAGGGGCGCGACGGGGCTAGGAGGCGTGACGGGGCTAGGAGGCGCGACGTGGCCCAAGGGGAAGCGGCGGGGCCTAGGTAGGGTACGGGCGGAAGCGGTAGGTGGGGGATTCTAACCTACGCGTGATACCATGTTAAAGTAAGAACTGAATAATGAACTAGAAGTAGAAACCTAGAACAAATACTAGTTGGTTGTACTCACTAGAAGCATACCCCAGTCTAGCCTATAACTTGTACACAGCTAATATGTTTAAGTTGACAGCTAGCAGTGCCAAGGATGGCAGCATATGACGTGCCACTGCCTGGTGGTACGCGTAAAATGACGCGTATTGCGGGATATTGGGGCAAGGCCAGGTACAGGGTACAGGGGAAATCTACAGGTATACCCCCTATATACTAACCCTGAGAGGGGTACAAATGGTTAGTTTGATATAATCAGAGTAAAATAAAACCTCAAGTTTTTTACTCAGGGAACCTAGAGTAGTTTTCAAAAACGACTCTGATTTTCAGAGAAACAGAGTAAATTACTCTGATAAAATAGGCACTGGGTTCTGCCTTCATTGAGGGTAATGGAAATTGCCCAATATAAGTATAAGGGAAATCTCCGTGTACATGGCTAACCATCTACAAGTGTCGCCAAATGGATTACAGTGGGTACATTGTGGAGCAGGGGGGTGATTTGCAGGGGGATTTGCTTTACAAAGGTCCAACCGTCGCCGCTCTCGGGGCGTGCGAAGATCGAACCGAACTGAAACTCGCGTGTCGAAATGCCTTAGGGCGATTCCAGCTCGTACGTTTACAATTCACTTTATACGGTTCAATATGGTTTTCGGAGTTCCAACGTGGTTAAGTGCGAAAACCGCTCCTGATCGCGATAGATCCTACTGAACCGTGATCCGTGTACTGTAAACGTACGCGCTGGACTTGCCCTTAGATTCCTCGCAGGAGGCAGCTTCGAACAGAACCCAAGAGTGTGTCGAAGTTCGATCTTGCTTCTGTTGCACTTCTGGGAGCATTTCGGATTGCACTGTCGGCTCGTGCAACAGAAGCTCCACGTGGCTTGTGTAGCAATTTACTTGCACGCCTGCCATTTTAGGGGTGACACAATAACTACGAAAGGGGTATACGAAAGAGATACCTCGACTGACTGCAGTAGGCAGCAACTCGGATTCGTAGCTCAGGGCCTCACGTGTCATTCTAATGCCAGTAACCAGTAACCACTCACCCTCACCAGAAGCCAGTATCCGTCACGCCACCGACCAGTAACCACGCTCGCTTATTGTCGCAAGTTCTCCCCTGCCGTCGTCGCCACTCGGCGCGCTTCGGACCAAGTAGGCCCTCCACGTTCCTCCGTCGTTCAACGGAGCCGCGTTTCCTCCTCCCGCTCTGCCGTCCGTTACGTTTCGCTTCCCCCACCTCCATCCCTCTCGCCCCTGTGCCCCTTCCCGCGAATAGCGTCGCCTTTTCCACCCGCGCCAATCCGCATCCTCCTCCAACCCCATGCTTTTGAGTCGCCTTAAAACTATACCTCTCCCCTCTCCCCACCGCGCGCAAATCCCTTCCCTCTTGCCCGTCACGGTCTCCCCCGCCCCCCTCCCCCCCTCCCCCCCTCTCCCTCCCTCCCTTTCCTCTCCCCCCCTCTCCCCCCCCCCCGCCTTCTCTCTCTGTCTGCCTGTCTCCACCCCGCCGCGCACCTCCTTGCCGTTCTCTTTTCCCACATTCCCCGTGTCTCCCCGTTCCCACTCAGCTCCGCTACAGCCTACTGTCGGCTGGGTACTGCTACAGTCTTCCAGTAGGGCTGCAAGAGGAGCGTCGCTCTGCCTTTGCTGCGATGGCGTCCAAGAGTGATTCTTCGATGTGAGTGCCGTGGCTTCCTCACTCTCTCTCTCTCTCTCTCTCTCTCTCTCTCTCTCGCTCTCCCCCTCCTCCCCCTCCCCCTCCCCCCTCTCACCATCTCCTCTTCCTCTCACGCTCTCGGAGCTGTTTGGATCCGATCTGAGTCTCTATTAACCTGAAGTTACAGCAAGAAGAGCCGCCCACGTCTGTTGAAGACCTGCTTGAAAGTATCGGCTGCACAGGCCTTTCCACTCTCCAAAGTTCCACGCCCATTGTTCCTCTTTCCCCCCCCGTTCTCTCTTCCCCCCATTTGACTCCCCCCCCCCCCAATCTCGATTCGCACTCCTCACAGCAGCCCATCGTCCCAGCAGCACCGCCCTCCCACGGGCATCGAGATCCTCTTTGCCCAGCGCCTCTCCTCCTCTGCTGCCGCTGCTCCCTCCTCTGCTGCTGCCGCTCCCACCACTGCTTCTGCTCCCTCTGCTGCCGCCGCTCCCTCCACAGTTCCTGTCAACAGTGGGCCCTCAGCCGCTCCGTCCACAGCTCCTGCCAAGAATCCGCAGGGAGTCGTTTCCGTTTCTGCTGTTTCCATAGCCCCTGTCAAGAGCTCGTTAAAGCCACCGTCTGCCACTGCCTCCTCTGCCCCTGCCAAGGACTCGGTAAAGGATTCCCCTGCCGCTCCTGCCACAGCTCTTGCCAAGAGTGCCTCTAGAAGCTCCTCTGCTGCTCCTCCCATTGCCCCCATTCCCATCAAGAGCTCGTTAAAAGCACCCGCTACTGCAAAGAGTGCATTGGGAGCCCCCTCTGTTCCCTCCCGTGCTCTGAAACCCTCGTTTAGAGAACCCTTTGCTACTCCCTCTCCGGCCCTTGTCAAGAGCTCGATAAAAGCACCCTCTGTTGCTCCCTCCACTGCTCCTGCTAAGAGCGCCCTAGAAAGGTGGCGGATTGAAGGGGGCAGTGCGGGCGCGGGGAAGGGCGATGGTGGCGGGGCAGGCGGGGGGCGGTGGAGAGAGGGTGGTGGTGGGCAGGTGCGGGGTAAGGGTGTTGCTGGGGCTGGAGGCAAGGGCACGGGGAGAGATGGAGTGAGTGGCGGCACGGGGCGTGGGAAGTGTGGGAAGGCTGGCAGCAGGCTGGCTGCAGAAAGAGGGGGAGTGGGTAGTGAGGAAGCAGTGAGTGGAGGGAAGGGAGACAGGGGAGCGGCAAGGGTCGATGGTAGGAAGGGTGGCGTAGGGAGTCGGTGGAGCGAGGCTGCTCAACAGGCGAAGAGCGTTTGGGGCGTGGGGGATGGGATGGGTGTGAAAGCTGGTGGGAAGGTAGCTGTGAGAGGGGGAGTGGGCAGTGCGGAGGCGGTGAGTGGAGGGAAGAGTGAGAATGCAGCAGCCAGAGCTGATGGCGGTGGGGGTGCCGCGGGGGCGCAGCGGAGAGAGGCTGCTGACACTGGGAGAATCGCTGGGGTGCCTGGCGCTGTTCTGAAGAGTGCTGGGGCTGCTGGGGCTGCTGGGTATGTGAAGAGTGTGGGGCATGGGAAGGGTGCCGCTGGGGCTGTTAGTAAGATATGTTCGGGGGCAGGTGGAGTGGGCAGGAAGATGGGCGTTGCTCCTAGAGAGCCGATCAGAGGGAATGCTGCAGCAGGAAGCAGATGGGCATCAGCCACAGGGGGCAAACTGGATGCAAGAAAGACGGGAGGGGGCAAATTGGGAGAGGGCAAGTTGGTTTCAACCATGGGCAGCAAGTGGGGAGGCAGCAGATTGGGAGGGAGCAAAGAAGCGACCAGGACAGGCGCAAGTGATATTGGAGCGAAGAAAATGCCTGAAAGCACGGTGGTGAAAAATAGGGGTTATTCCAGACTGGTCAAAGTTGGAGCTTTGAGGGCGAAAGCGTTGGAGGGGAGTGAGAAGGGGAGTGATGGTGCGAGTAAGGACTGGAGATTTGGGGAGAGTGAGAAAGGGAGGGATGGCGCAAGGGATAGAAGGAGAGATAACGAGAGAGGCATTGAGACTGAGAAAAGGAGAGACAGTGAGAGTGAGAAAGGTGGTGACGGTGAAAGGGATAAAGAGAGAGGAGACGAGAGAGGCGTTGAGACTGAGAAAAGGATAGAGGATGAGAGTGGCACCAGGATAGACGGTGAGAGTGAGAAAGGGAGGGACAAAGAGTGTGCGGAATTAAGGGGCGGGGACAGGGGGGAAGGAGGGGATGATGAGACTGGGAGTAGTATGGATGCCGAGGGGGCGAAAGGGAGAGGCAATGCCGGTTCAATGTCGAAGCCTGGAAGGAACGGCGATATAGGGGCCAGGCAGCAGCTGTCGTTGCGGGAGAACTGGGGCAGCGGGGAGGGCGGATGGGGAAAAGGGGGAGAGGAGGAGGAGCATTGGAATGAGGAAGAGGAGGATGTGGAGAAGGAGCAGGTCCAAAGGGAGATAGAGGAGCACGAGGAAGAGGCGGAGAAGGGATGCCGAGGGAGGGAAGGGGGAAAGGAGGTAGAAGCAGGGTGGGAGAAGGAGGGTGGCAGTGCTGACGTGAGTTCAAGCCAGGAAGGTGTTGCAGCTCAACTGCTGATGAAGGGTGGGGACGAGGCGAGGGGGGAAGAGGATAATGTTACGCGGCTCGCAAAAGAGGACAGTTTACGCACTCCATGGATGGTTGATGATGAGGCGACGGAGGTAGCTCCCAAGAGAGACGAGGAGGAAGAGGAGGAGAGAAGGATTGAGGAAAACGTGAAGAGAGAAGTAGAGGTAGAGGCGAAGAGAAGGGAAGAGGAAGAGGAGGAGATAGGGGAAGAGGAAGAAGAGGAGAGAGGGGAAGAGGAAGAGGAGAGAAGGGAAGAGGAAAAAGAGGAGAGAAGGGAAGAGGAAAAAGAGAAGAGGGAGGAAGAGGAAGAGGAGAAGAGAAGGGAAGGGGAAGAGGAGATGAGAAGGGAAGAAGAAGATAGAGGGGAAGAGGAAGAGATGAGATGGGAAGAGGAAGAAGAAAAGAGAGGGGAAGGGGAAGAGGAGAAGCAAGGGGGAAAGACAGAGAGGAAGAAAAGGGAAGAGGAACAGGAGAAGAGGAGGGAGGAGGAAGAGAAGAAGAGTAGGGAAGAGGAAGAGGAGAAGATAACAGAAGACATAGAGAAGAATGGAGGGAGCGAGGAAAAGGATAAGAGAAGGGAAAGGCTATTGGAGAAGGGAAAGCAACAGGAAGAGAAGGAATTGGAAAAGGAGGAGGAGAAGAGGAGTGGGGAAGTGGAGGAGGAGAGGAAGGTAGAGGAAGCAGAGAGCAGCGAAGAGGAAGAGAGCGCTGATCGGAGAGAGCGGGATAGAAGAAGAGGGGTTAAATGGAAAACCCAGGAAAGGGAGCCATGTTTAGAAGAAGCCTTGCAGCCAGGGGAAGAATTGCTGTGCATGAATGATGGGCAAAAGACAAAGCCACACTGTGCCCCAGGGAAGGCTGAGAAGCATCTTACCCAGGTAAGCACCACATTTGTTTCGGTAAGCGTGCCCACACCTGAAACACCCATCGAGGTGACTTTTGAGTCGACTCAAAAGTCACCTCGTTTCGGTAAGCGTGCCCACACCTGAAGCACCCATCGACCCTGGGGTGGGTCGAGCCTTCCCAACTATCCTTCTCTCAGGAAGGCCCTTCTGTTCTGGTAGATCATTCTCAGGGAATATCGCTTCCTCCACTCACTTCCCAGTTCTCTTTCCTCAGCTTGCCTTTGTTGCTAAAGCATTTGAATGGCCTTTCCACGTGTGCCCCTTGTCCACGTGGCAGGACATGGTTGGCAGCTTCCGACCAGCCAAGAGGCGAGTGCTGGGATTCCGCTCTCGGCAGGAGAGTGGGCAGGAGAAGAGCATTCACAGTGCATCGATGCGGCATCTCGCAAGCAGAGAGCAGCATGGCATGTGCACATCGCAGCATGGCGCATGCACCATGCAGTATGACATGGATGAGGTGGATACCACATGGCTTACTGCCTACAACAGCACCCTCACACATCCCCATGTCGCTGCTCAGCCGGCAGTGGACGGGGAAGGGGCAGGGAAGCAGGCGAATGGGGAGGGATTGCAGGGCCAGCAGCCTGCAGTGAAGCGGAACAGGCAGGATGGGCAGCAAGGGCAGGCACAGGTGGAAGGGGCAGAAGGGCATACATTACCGGATGGGTTGGTGGCCAGGGAGGTGTTACTTGAGAAAGGGCATATGCTGGGCTGCAAGGGGAGAGGTGGGAGTGGGAGGTTAGGGAGTGTGGCATGTTTGTCAGAGGAGGCGTTTGAAGGCTGCATGACTTTCCTGGATATGCACCCTGCTGCCGCTGCTGCTGCTCACGATGCTGCTCGTGCTGCTGCTGCTGCTGACGATGATGATGATGGTGGTGCTGCAGATGTAGATGCTGGCTCTGCTGGTGCTGCGGGTGCCAAGGTGCATGGAGGCTTAAAATCAGAAGGAGATGAGGAAACACTAAGAGCGGAGGAGGCAGAGGCAGGGCGTCATGGTGCAGGGACACTGCGATGCGACGTGTGCTTCCAGCCGGGGGAGACGCCTTACAACCCGGTCAGTAAGCGCAGCATACAGCATGCTTCCCTTATGGTGCTGGGGAAGGGCTCCATGGTGCAGAGACACGTTGCGTTGCGATGCGATTTGTACTTTCAACAAGGGAGACGCCTTACAGCCTTGTGAGTGCCACACCGTACCGCATGTTTAGGGGGTCACTGACGGCAACAGCTTGCAAATTCATGCAATCACTTGCGGCTGTGTGTGTGGTTCTCCTTTCACCTCCGCTCATTATCTCGTCTCAAACCACATTTTCTCACCCCCATCCCTCCCCACACGAATTAGTTCCTCTGCTGCTCTCTCAGTGCCACAGCCGGCTATCAGCTCGGCTAAGGCGCCATGGGCTCTCCTCTCATCCCCCGTCGTCCTCACTTCCCTTTCATCTTCGCCCCCCGCCCCCTGGATCATTTCCTCTGCTGCTCGCTCTGCACCACTCTCGTCGCCCACCAGCTGTGCTACGGCACCGTGTGCCGCCCCCCTCACTGGGGCTGTCCCTCATCCATTCTTGCCCCCAACACACCTCCCTCCTTCCCCCTTCCCTCTTTCACTTCCTCTGCTGCTCTCTCGGAGCCACTCTCGTCCACCAGCTGTGCTACGGTACCGTGGGCCTCCCCCACCTCTGGGCCTTGCTAGTATCTCAACAGATGTTCATTTTTCCCCAAACCATCCCCCCCCTCCCCCCATCAGTTGCTCTGCTGCGCGCTTTGCTCCACAGCCGTCCACCAGCTCTGCTATGGCGCCGTGGGCCTTCCTCCCCTCTGGGCAGTGCGCTCCGCCCTCCTCTCCCCCTCCCCGCACGCCCCTCCCCTTCCCTCACTCCTCGCGCTGACCAACCAGGGGAGGGGCGGGGGGGCAGCGGGGAGCCAGGCAGTGGGGAGGCACGCAGAGGCTGGACGTGGGGGGGGCGCTGCTGGGGGGGGCGTTGCTGGGGGGGGATTGCTGGGGGGGCCGTTGCTGGTGGAGCCATGCAGCCGAGCAAGCAGGCAGTGGCGAGCCGGTTCAAGTGGCGCTGTGTGCCGTGCCACCTGTACGCGCGAGCATGCAGCACTTCTCACACGCCGTGCTCCCAGCGGCCTCCCCTCCTCACGTGAGTATGCAAGCAGGGAACTGTCCATCGCTTCAAGTGGCGCTGCATGCGTGTGCCGTGCCACTTGTCTGTACGCCACAGCATGCAGCAGCACTGCTGCTGTTGGCAAGCCATGCTCCCAGCGTCCTCCCCTCCTCACGTGAGTGTGCCAGCAGTCATGAAGGCGCTACAACTGGCGGTTCACAAGAATCAGATCGTCCGTCACACATGTTGCCCCATCTGCTGCCACTCACCCCGTTCGTTCCCCACTCCGCTTCCATCTGCCCCGCCTGGTCCCCTCCCCATCCCCACAGCCCTCTGCCTTGTGCCGCCTGGTGGGAGGCGCTGCGATAAAGCCCTTGCCTCTAGGGTCATATAGGGCCGACCCCCTGACACATGATTCCCTGCCTTCTTACCCTGAACCCCACACTCCCCCGCCCCCCCTCTCTTCCTCCCTTCTGCTGTTCTCTCCGCAGCTGTGCCTTGTGCCGTGTGGTGGGAGGCGGTGCATTCAAGCCCTGCTCTGACGGCCCCCTGCCGGCCACCGCAGAGGAGCGTCATGGGGAAGCAGAGGGGCGTCCTGAGAGAGCAGAGGAGCGGCTTGAGAGGACACAGGGGCGCATAGTGAGACCAGAGGGACGTGGCGAGGCAGCAGAGGGAGCAGGGATCCCTGGGGAGGGGTGTGGGGCCATCGGTGCAGAAGGAAATGATTCTGCTTGTGCGGATTCGAGGCAGGGTTTGGTTGAAGAAAAAGGGGCAGAGCGCAGGCAGGATGGATATGAGGTGCGCGAGGGGGGTAGACTGCAAGGGAAGAGGGGGGAGAGGAGAGATCTGGCAGAAAGCACCGCTGTGAGAGCTCTGGGGAGGGGAGGGCGTGAGGGTGGAAAGGAAGGGGGTGCTAGAGTCCGGAATGGTGGGTTGCCTCGAGAAACAAGGTGTCAGGTGGGATTTGGGAGAGGCCGGTCTGTGGGTGTGGGGGGGGCGAAACAGAGGTACGCGGATGGTGGTGATAGGGGCAGGCAGGGGGAGGCGAGAGGGGGAATGCGGGTAGAGGGGGACACGCAGCAGCATAAGGGGAGGGCGGACCAGCAGAGGAGGAGGAGGAGAAGGTTTGCTGGCAGGAGCAGCGGCAGTGGGAGTGACCGAGAGAGTACCAGTGAAAGTGGGAGTGATAGTGGGTGTGCGAGCAGCAGCAGCAGCAGCAGTGGGAGTAGCAGCAGTGATACATCAACCAATGACTCGGCCGGTAGCCAGAGCAGCAGCGACGCGAGCAGTGAGCCAAGTAGGGGAGAAGGAGACAAAGGCAAGAGAGGCAGGAGGCGAATGCATGTGAGGGGGAGGAGCCGGCAGGAGGGTGGAACTTGTGCTGGCCACAATGGTGGAGATGCCAATGCAGAGGGGTCTACAGTGGACGGCAGGATGAGGATGGAAGGGAGAATGGGGGCACATGGAACGCAGCACCTGCCTAGTTCAGCGGCAAAAGGAGCAATCTTCATTGGGTTGGTCGGTGGTAGCAAGACGGCAGAGGGAGGGGGGAGGAGTGGTAGGGGAAGAGACGGCGGCTCTGTGAGGGGAGGTGGCGAGAGGAGCACAGGGAATGGGGAGCAAGCTGCTGGGCTTGAAAAGGGCACGAGGATTCCTCTGCAAGAGACACGAGCTGCTCAAGTGGATTCTGGTGGCAGGAGTGGCTATGGAAGGAGCGCTAAGGCAGGCATGTGTGACGATGCGAAGGACGTGCGGCAATTGGAGAAGGCCATGCCAGCTGCCCTGAGGCACGTGCGCTGGGTGCATGTGGCGTGCGCTCTCTTCGACTGCCATGTGTTCTTCGGCAGTGCGGAGTTCCTCCAACCCATCATGTGAGCCCCTCCAACTAGACATGGTCATATCGCATCGCATTTTGCGATGGCGATTTTTTTTTATTTTTTTTTAACAATTATCGCGGCGATGCGATGCGATTATATCACGCGATTTTTGCAATATCGCGTTTATATCACACTTTTTTTGGCGCGATAAAATGCGATTCGCGATATTAAAAAAATCGCCCGCGATATTTGGAGCTCGCCATTTTTTGTTTGCTGTTTATTTATTAGAACCGATGTTGTAATGGTGTGTTGTGCCCCTGTTTGAAACCCTTCGGCAGTTCCCAGTTATCTAACTATCCAAATTGCTGCTGTAGTTTACATTGCCCTGAAATTTAGCCCTGGTGATGCGATACTTTATCGCATCGCGCGATATATCGCACTCTACAGCGCGATATTTAAAAATATCGCACCCAAAACGCGATATGCGATTTTGTTTTTTTTCAAAAATATATCGCGGCGATGCGTGCGCGATAAGTCAAAATGCGATGCGACATCGCATCGCATCGCATTTTGACCATGTCTACCTCCAACCCATCATGTGAGTCCCTCCAACCCATCATGTGAGCCCCTCCAACCCATCATGTGTGTCCCTCCAACCCATCATGTGAGTTCCTCCAACCCATCATATGTGTCCCTCCAACCCATCATGTGTGTCCCTCCAACCCATCATGTGAGCCCTCCAACCAACCCATTATGTGAGTCCCTCCAACCCATCATGTGAGTCCCTCCAACCCATCATGTGAGTCCCTCCAACCCATCATGTGAGTCCCTCCAACCCATCATGTGAGTCCCTCCAACCCATCATGTGAGTCCCTCCAACCCATCATGTGATTCCCTCCAACCCATCATGTGAGTCCCTCCAACCCATCATGTGTGTCCCTCTTTACCACTCCTCCTGTAGTCTTCTTCCCTCTCTACCTACGTTTATCTCCATCCCTCTCTACCTACGTTTATCTCCATCCCTCTCCACTCCTCCTTTCTCACCCTCCCTCGCCCTTTCTCCTCTCTCGTTCCTCCCCCACACTCTCTCTCTTCTGCACACAGGGGTGTGACAGCTGCTGCACAGAGGAGGGCGGACAGCAGGCAGTTGGCAGCAGCAGCAGCAGCAGCAGCAGCAGCAGCGTTAGCCATGGAGCGCTGCACCTTCTGCCATCAGCCGGACGGCCCGCTTGACCTGCTTCCGTGCGCTTACCCTCTCTGCGCCATGCGCTTCCATGTCCGCTGTGGCCTGCTGCATGGCTGCTCCGCCATTGTAAGTCTGTGGCCCGTGGAGCTGCTTGCCGCCAGCGAAGCTTGTTGAGTTGACCCTACGCCCTCCGGCTTTCACTGCTCTCTGCAGCACTATCCGTTTCCACCTTCACTGCAGCCTGCTGCTGCATGCTGCGGCTTTGAGGTGCCTCAAAACGTTCACTGCAGCCTGCTGCTGCATGCTGCAGCTGAGGTTCACAGCTACGTTGCTCAAACCTGAGCCATGCCACGGCATCCCCTATTCCCCTTCTCTCCACCTTTTCCACCCTCGGGTACGAGAAATCTGCTTATACCACACCCAGCAGACCAGGCTACTGCCTTCTGTCGCTCACACACAGCAGCTGGGCTCGAGCCTGAGGGGACACGTGCACAGGATGAGACTCTCTTCCCACTCACCCCATTTGCTTCCTCTATTCCTCCCTCCCTCTCACTCCCCCTTCCCTCTCCCTCAGGTGCGAGAGACCGACCTGTACAACCACCAGGTGATGGCCTTCTGCCCCTCGCACGCTGCAGATGTGCTTTGAGCCGCCTGAAATGCAACGTCCCAGTCCTCTCATCCCCCTCCTCCCTCCCCATCCCTGCTCCCTCAGGTGCGAGAGACCGACCTGTACCAGCGCCAGGTGTCGGCCTTCTGCCCCTCACACGCTGCAGCTGTGCAGGGGGGCGAGGGGGACCCCTATCCCTCACATGGGCATCCCCCCGCAGAGGAACCGCAGGGTTGTAAGGAGGCGCCATTTTCAGATGTACATGATGGTGTAGGGGCTGGGTCCAAGGCAGGGGTAGCTCCTTGCAGCATGGTGCTGGATGGAGTGAGGGAGTCAGAGGCGGAGGTCGAGTGGGAGCAGAAGCATCCAGGGGGGGTGAGGGAGCACATGCAGGCGGTGAGTGAGCATTGGAGGAAGCGAAGGGCTGCAAATGGAGGCATGCCCTCACTGCTGCATCTCGCGCATGTGAGTCAAACTGTGCACTATGGTTATGAGTGGGAGATATCTCTGGCCTCTCCCGTGCAGCTTTATGTTTAGAGAGTTTGACCCCTCTCTGTGTGAAGCTGGGAGTTTGACACCTTAAAGCACACTTGAAGCTTCGATGCCTCTCTTGATTCTGGAAACTCCTGGGAGATTCGCTCGACTAGCCATTCCCATCCAACTATCTTGTTAGCTTCACCTTCATCACGAATTCTTCTTTTTACTTTCCCAATCCCCTTGCCCCCCGGCTCTCCTTACCCCATCGCCACATCAGGCGTGGACGCAACATCGCCCACTCCCTTTTAGTGTGCTTCTCGACCCTTCTTCCCGCACCCATCAGGCCCGCATGGAGCACGTAGAGGCAGCTCAGCTGAAGCCATCAATGGATCTCCACGAAAACGCCCCTCCTCCTTCCACCCTCCCCAGTCCTTTTGCTGCTGCTGTCGCCGACGCTGCTGCTGCAGCTACCACTGTTGCTGCCACTGCTGCTGCTTCATGGGAGAAGGTAGACCTCTGTGCACATGCAGAGGATCAGGCAGGCCAACTGATCGATGGGAGGGAGAGTAGTGGGTGGGTGTGTGACGACAGAGGTATGGGCATTGATGGTAGAGACATGGGCAGTGACATGGCAAGGCAGCGAGAGCAGTGGCAGCAGGTGGTGGGAGAACAGGGGCTCAGAGCAAGCAGGGGAAGAGGTAGGAGTCCTGGTGCCGATGGTGGTGGTGGTGATGGTGTTGGTGATGGTGGTGACAGTGTGAATGGTGATCAGGATGCATGGGGCCCATGGGATATGCACCAGAGGCAAGAGACAGAGGAATGTGGTGAGAGGACGAGAAAGGGTGGTGAGAGGAAGCGAGGGAGTGGTGGGGTGAAGAGAGAGAGTGGTGAGGCATGGGAGCAGTGTGTCACAGTGAAGGACGAGAGTGGCGCAGAGCCGCCTGCCTCGCGTCCTGCAACTCCCACCATGTCACCACCCCCACCCCCACCACCTCTCCCGTCAGCAGCACTGCTTCCATCAGCGGAGACTCCGGTCGCTGCAACACCACCCGCACCAGCAGCAGCAGCGGCGGCAGCGGCAGCAGCGCCAGCGGCGGTGGCGGCGGCGGCGGGTACTGGTGAGGGCAGAGCGGGGTGTGTTTGGTGTGGGGGGCAGGGCGCGGCAGTGCAGTGCGTGGGGTGCCAGCAGCGCTTCTGCTACCAGTGCTTCAAGCGCCGCAAGGGCTTTGGCGTCAAGGGCTGGACCACAGCGCTCCGACAGCCGTCGTACACGTGCCCTGGGTGCTTGAGTGGGGAGACACACGCACATGCGGACATGCATGGAGATGTGGGCGTGTATGCACGTGTAGCAGCGGTTTCTGGTGCGGTTACAGGTGCAGGTAGGGGTGTGCACTATAGGGAGGACAAGGGGAGGAAAGGGAGTGGGGGGAGAGAAGGGAGGTTAGAGGTGGGGGTTGATGGTGGGGGGTTGGAGGAAGGTGGGAGGTGGAAGAAGCTAGAGAAAGTGATGCAGGGAGAAGGGGAAGCTGAGAGGGTGGTTGGCCGTGGTGGCAAGGTGCAGGGGAGAGGAGGTGTGAAGCGAGGAAGGAAGGAAGTCAAGGAGGGGGGAGAGTGGCGATTGGGTTGGGCGGAGGATGAGGAGGCAGAGGAGAAAGACGAGGAGGAGGAAGAAGAGGAAGAGGAGGAGGAAGAAGAAGGGGAGGAGGAAGCGGAAGAGGAGGAGAAGGAGGAGGAGGAGGAGGAGGTGGAGGAAGAAGAAGAAGAGGAAGAGGAGGGGAGGAGGGGAGGGAGAGACATCGACTTTGAGGAGGAGTTAGGGGTGCGCCTGTTTGGCAGGGGTGCGGGAAGGAGGGCGGGGGAGCAGATGAGGACGACCAAGGAGATGGAGAGAGGAAGGAGCCGGCATGACTTGGAGCGAGGCAGGCAAGAGGGTGGAAGGGTTGGTGGCCGGCTGGCAGGCGTGCCATGTACTGCTAGGGATGACGAATCAAAGGGGCCGAGATTGGGAGCAAGGGGCAGGGGAAGAAGTGAAAGATGTGGGCGCAGAGGAAGGAATTTGTGGGAAGCAACCGAGTGGCGGAGTGAGAGGGGCAGAGCGTGGGAGGAGGAGGAGGAGGATGTGCGTGGGCAGGACAAAGAGTATAACGAGTGTGAAGGGGCAGTGGAGGGGGGGCGTGATGTGGAGGGGGATGAGGAGAGGGATGAGGAGAGTGCAAGGGAGGAGGAGGAGGGGGAGAGAGGCATGTGGCAGGGGGATTGGGTGCATGTGGTGGTGGGAGGGGAGATGGCGGAAAGACTGCTCCAGAAGGAGACAGTGCACGTGGGTGCTGTGATCAGGGGGGATGTGGATGTAGTGAGCACTGAGAGTGTGGATATGAAGATGGAGACACCGCGAGAAGAGGAGGCAGACGATAATGGTAAGGGGGAAAGCGAGGAGGAGGAGGACGAGGAGGAGGAGGAGGACGAGGAGGAGGAAGAGGAGGAAGAGGAGGAAGAGGAGGACGAGGAGGAGGAGGATGAGGAGGAGGAGGAGGTCGAAGAGGAGGACGGTTACTCTGAAAAAGTGGAGCAAGAGACCGTGGGAGGCATGGGGGAGGAAGTAGGAGCAGAGGCAGAGGGGCAGGAGGTGGAAGGAGTAGGTACGGAATTAGAGGGCGAGGAGGAGGGAGAGGGGGAGGAGGAGGGGGAGGAGGGGGAGGAGGGGGAGGAGGTGTGGAAGCAGGAGTTGTGGAGTGAGCTGGACAGAATGGTCGCTGCTGTCTCCACCCACGTGGGTGGTTCCGCAGGGGAGGTAGATGTGGGGGAGGTGGATACTGGGGAGGTGGATGCGGGGGAGGTAGGTGTGATGGAGGTTGAAGGGCCCCAGGGGCTGGGTAGGGGTGGAGAGGTGGGCGCCATGCTGTGGGGCGATGCACATGGCATGGCAGATGACCATTTGTACAAGGGGGCACATGGGAGCATGCCTGCGTTGCCTGTGTATGAGAGGATTGTGGGGGATGAGGGCGGAGTGGGGATGAGGGCGGAGGGGGAGGAAGGCAGGGCGGGGGAGGGGGGGAAGTATGAGGCAGGAGAGTCAAGAGGACGGATGGGGGGAGTGGCTCTGGGTGGTGGAGCGGGAGGAGAGCGTGGGAGTGTGACAGCAGCAGAAGACGAGGGTCAGGGTCCGTGTGGTCCCTGTGGCTGGGGTGATGAATATGGGGGCGATAGCCATGGGGTCACGGCAGGGGAAGGGGCTGGAGGGCTGCTCACAGCAGAGGGTGGGGGCACGGGGCTGCTGGAATGGAGGGCCGAGGAGCAGGGGAGCGACATGTGGAGGAGTGGGAATCAGGAGCATGGCTCGTGGGGGGCAGATGGGGGGGCAGAGGGTGGTGGCGATGGTGGCGATGGTGGCGATGGTGGGGATGGTGGCGATGGTGGCGATGGTGGGTGGTGGAGCCGCATGTTTCCTGACTCCCCACTAGCCACTCACGAGCAACACGACTCCCTTAACGTGCGCTCACCTCTGCAAGCACATGTCTCAAGCCAGTCTCCCTCACTCCCAGCCCGAAACGCCCCAAATTCTCATTCTCCTCCTCCTCTTCCTGCCATCGCTTCCCCTAGTGCAACTCCTTCCTCTCCTGCAACCCCTTCTCCTCCTATACCCCCTTCCCCTCCTATACCCCCTTCACGTTCTGTAGCCCCACCCCCTGCTGCGCCCCCTTCCCCTGCTCCAGCTGCCATGTCATCTCCCCCCCACACAACCAAAAGCATCCCGCCACCTCCCTCCTACACAATCCCTCTCATCGCGCCTTCTTCCTCCCACGCAACCCCGCCCATCTCACCATCTCCCTCCCCTGTGCCGTGCTCCCTCCCGCCTCCTCACTCCCCCAACTCGCCCACTGCTGTGCGTCTCCCTCTGCCTCCTCCTCCTGTGCCCCTCGCCGTGCCCCTGTCTCCTATGCCCCTGGCTCTGCCTTCGCCTGCTGCTTTTGGCGGGGGCAGTGCTGGCATGGAGGGGCGACAAGAGGCGCGCAAGTATGGAGGGGAGGGGGTAGATTTTGAGACGTCCGACAGAGATCCTCCTGTAAGAATAAATGGGGGCGGGACTGGTCCAGAGGGGCGAGGAGAGGGGCCCAAGGATGGAGGGGAGGGGGTAGACCTTGAGACCTCTCAAAGTGGTCCTCCTGTAATTGGTGGGGGTGGGAGTGGTGCAGAGGGCACAGGGGAGGGACGCAAGGAGAAAGGAGATGGGGGAATGGGAGTGGATGTAGGGAAGGGGACGGCTGGAAGGGAAGGGTTGGATGCAGGGGAGGTCGGTGGAAGCTGGAGTAAGCGGCAGAGGGTGGAGGTGGGGTGTGGACAGGTGCCAATGCGGTTCAGAGCGGTGGAGGTGGGCTGCAGTGATGCTGTAAAAGAAGTAGTTGTGGAAGGGGCAGAGGCAGGTGCTGATAGGGGCGTTGCCGTGCAGAAGGAGGGGGGTAGTGCAGGTGGTGGGACGGAGGGGAGGAGTGGGGTGGGGAGGGAGAAGGAGGGGGGTGATGGAGGTGGTGGAAAGGAGGGTGGTGTAGGGAGTAGTGGGGTGGGGAGTGGGGAGGAGGGGGGTGGGGTGGAGCCTTTGAGGCGTGTGTCTGGGTTGAGGGGGGAAGATTTGGTAGAAGGTGGTGCAGGTGGAGTGGTGGGAGTGGGAAGCAGTGGAGCAGCAGCAGAGCAGCGGGGCTTGGTGGAAGGTGGCAATGGTGGCACGGTGGGGAGCAATGGGGGCATGGTGGGGCAAAGCAACACCAACACGAGTGAGGGGCTCAGCTCTGGTGAGACTATGAGGGCAGGCGGGGCTAGGCTCATGGCAGGGACAAGGGGCAAAGGCCTGCGCAGAACGAGCAGCAGTGGCAGCAGCAGTGACGGTAGTGATAGTAGTGATAGCAGCGACAGCACTAGTGGCAGCAGTAGCAGCAGTGTCAGCAGCAGCAGCGAAGAGACTACCAGCAGCAGCAGCAGCAGCGGCGGCAGCAGCAGGAGCAGCATGAGTGAGGGAAGGCCGGCTGCTGCTTTTCTTGCTTCTGGCGGGAGCAGGGGGGGGGAGGAGCAAGGGCAGCGTGCAGGAAGGATGGGGGTTGGGAAGGGGACGAGAGGAGCAGGAGCGGTGGAGGGAAGGGTGCACGGGGGGGACGTGGGGAACAGCAGAGGTGGGATGAGAGTGCATGGGCAGGGAGGGAGAGCAGATGGCGAAGGGGATAGGCATGCAGCTGTGCGGGGGAGGATGGGGGGGCTGAGGGACGAGATAGATGGGAGCGATGTGAGGAGAGCACACGAGGAAAAGGGGGGGAGGAGTGCGGAAGGAGGGAGGAGTTGGAGGAAGGTTGATGGCGGTCAGAGGGCTCGGGAGAGTGGGGTTAGTGGTAGCAGAGGAGGGAGGGGTGGGGGGGATGAGGGGTGCAGATGTGAGCTCGCAGGGGGAGGAGGGACAGAAAGTCTTAGTGAGATGAGGAGGGGGGAAAGGGAGGTGCAAAGGGCGAGGGAGAGAGAGGAAGAGAGGGCTGGACGTGAAGTTGGGTCACTTGGGAAGAGGAGGAGGGATGAGAGTGGAGATGGGCGGGAGAGAGGGGCAGATAGGCGGGGAAGGAGTGCAAATGGGAAAGAGAGGAGTGCAGATCGGCGAGAGTGGAGTGGAGCTGGGCGGGAGAGGAGCGGGGACGGGCGAGAGGGGGGTGGGGATGCAAAGTGGAAGGAGGGAAGAATGCAGCATGGGGTGGGCAAAGGCGTGGGCCGTGTGGGGGGAGGTGTGGGGAATGAGTTGAAAGAGAAAGCACATGAGAGAAATGAAAAGAGGCATGAGGGGGAAGGCAAGGGGCATGTGAACCTTGGTGTGGAGCAAAGGGGGAGTGAGGATGGTGCAAGGGTAGGTGGAGCGGAACGTTTAGGCGCAAAGGGAGAGGAGGATCGCAAGGGGAGGGATGAAAGGGGTAGGGGGGTGAGAAGAGAAGATGAGAAGGGAAGGCGGTTGAGTAGAGAAGATGAGAAGATGAGGGGATTGAGGAGACGGGATTTGAAACGGGATTGGGAGACGACGGGGAACAGAGGGAAAAGGCCAGAAGAGGGAGGTTTGGGTCAAAGTGGAGAAGAGAGGGAGAGGGGAAGAGGAGACGATGGAGTGAAAGATAGAGAATGGAACAAGAGAAAGCGCTCAGAGCACAGGGGCAGGGACGGGGGCAGGGATAGGGACAGGAGGGTTGAAAGGAGGAGGGAAAGGGAAGATGGACGGACAAGAGAGAGGGAAGGCAGAGAGGCAAGGGATCTAGGGAGGGTGAGAAAGGGGGCAGGTAGGATGGATAGGGACAGGGCAGATGGAAGGATGAGAGGGAGGGATGGTGATAAGAATCGGAAGAGAGGGAATGAAGGTAGTAGAGATGACAAAACTTTGTGCGAAAAGGATGCAAAGGGGCGGGAACAGGACGATGTCTTGGCAAGGGAGAGGGGGATTACAGTCGGGAAGGGGAGAGACGATGAAAGGCGTGAATCGCACATGCAACGGGAGGAGAGGAGCTGGAGGCATGAAAAGAAGGGCTCAGACAACCGTGATGGGGGGCTGAGTGGGAGGGAGAAGGGAGCTTCAGGCTCAAGAGTAGCGGCACCAGGTGCAGTGGAGCAGGACAGTGTGAGAAGGCGTGGGGAGGGCGAGAGGAGCAATAGCTGTGGGAGCGGGGCGGAGCGGAAGCTGACGTTCAGACGGCAAGAGGGGGACCTGCTTGAACTGAAGAAAGAGGGTCAGCAGAGCAAGCAGGAGGGGCGGACACTTGAATCTTCTGATGCGCCTCAAAGGGCACATACTAAGTCGAGGCGAGAGGAGGGGAAGAAGCCGACCATGGGAGGGCAGGAAGGCCTTGGCGGTTCAGAGCGAGGTGGTGTGGGGAAAGGAAGCAGCGTGGAGCGTCGTGGTTCTAGGAAGGAGGGGCACTCTGTGCGGCACGAGCAACCTCAGAAGACATTCAGAGCTGCGCGTAGCTAGAGAATGGTCTTTGCAAGCTACGGAAGCTGCTCCATTCTCATAAGTAAATTAGAGGATCTCCGCCGTAATGGTCACAATTCTCATGTCAAAGTCAAATCTTGTTCCCTTCTCATTGTGTCTGCATGTGGGTTTATTATGTCACAAGACTAGCTTAGCTAGGAAGCCATAAAATGGCATGAGGTTTAGCTAGGAGCTAGGAGGAGCCATGGAAATGGCGAGAGGTTTTAGGTGCTAGGAAAGTTGAGGAGAGAAAAGAGAACTAGAAAGGAAGAGAGGGATACAAGGAGGGGTGTTGTACCCTCTACAGTAATGTTCAGTAACATCTACCAAGCCTACACTTATATAAACGCATACTGCTGGCAGTGGCAGCTGCATTGGATATGGAGCTGATGCAGTTGGATGTGAAGAACGCATTTCTTCACGTCGTGCTGGACAGAGATCTCTACATGGAACAACCCAAGTATTACGAGGATGGGACTCCTCGTGTCTGCAAGCTGCTGAAGAGCCTGTACGGACTCAAGCAGAGCCCAATGCTCTGGTATGAGGCCTTGGATGGGGTGTTTCTTGGGGCTGGATGGTGCAAGAGCCAAGTGGATGAGGCTCTTTACTTCAAGAGCAATGATGGAGGGTGAGATGTGCTGGCTGCTTGTGTATGCGGATGACCTTCTGGCGGCCAGCTGCAGTACGGACCTACTGGGGGAGTTGCGTGAGCTGCTGCAGGGCGCATTTCAGCTGAGAGAGATTAACCCCATCGAGAAATACTTGGAAGGAGCTGGAACGGTGCCTGACCTACTTGGTGGGGACCAAGGATGCAACCTTGGAATTCAGTGGGGGTCCGGCGTCCTTGGAGCTGATAGGGTATGCAGACGCTGATGATGCAAGAGACAAGCAAAACCGAAGCAGCACAGGAGGTTACGTCTTTGTGTTTGGCAGTGCTGCAGTTGCTTGGGCGAGTCAGAGGATTCGTTGTCTCACTCTCTCCTCTACTGAGTCTGAGTATATTGCGGCAGTTGAAGCAGGGAAGGAGGCTCGCAGACTGCGCTTCCTTCTGGCAGAGTTTCAGTTGCTCAAGTGTGAGGAGCCAACAACATTCTTTGTCGATAATTCGTCTGCGATTGCTGTGGCAGGTGGCATGCGGCTCAAGGGGAGCCTCAAGCACATGGAGTGGGGTCACATGTGGCTGCAGCACATGGTCAAGCGCAGGAAGCTGGATCTGCAGTACATCCCTACCAGCGAGCAACCTGCTGACTATCTCACTAAAGCATTACATTTCCCAGCCTTTTCCCGTTGCTTTGATATAGTGGGACAAGTGAGGACACATGCGATGGCTTTCTCTTCAAGCCCTTTCCGTATTCTGCGCTGTGGTGCTAGTCCAAGGAAGCAGATGAAGAGCATGAGGCGTGGAAGGAAGGAGAATGGCTGGGGTGAGTACGACGAACGAGCATTGGCAGCATTCCGTGACTATGAGCGTATCTGTGCATACGCTTCTGGCTCTTCGTAGGTTTCTGCTTGTGATGGTGCCATGGCCTATCCATGGCTAGTGCAGTGTGTGTTTCAGATGAAGAAACATTGCAAGCGTACTGTTGATGCATAGGACCCTTGCGTGTGTGCTATGTGTTCCTTTTGGCTTGTATGCTTGTATGTGTGTGCCCTTTGATTATAAAGGGCCTTGCTGTAGTAGTGCAGGGGAGTGTTGGAAGCCCTACTGCAGCTGCGGGCAGCCAGGCGTTGACCGACTTATGTCGGTGCACCGATTGCCTGGCAGCTGCGGGTTGGCATGACCAAGATGCATGGACTGATCCTTGCTACCGGAGACTAAGTCTAGTCTGTGTGGACTGGTCCGGAGATGCCCACGACGACCAGTGACTCTGACGACGAGTCTTGAGTAGTCGTAGCTATAGCGATGGACTTCCGTGCGGACCAAGGCAGCGTTTGCCTTGCTGGTTGGAGTTGCGTACACGGCAAACCCAACCTTGCTGAGTTGGGTTGGGGAATTGGGCGAGGCGCGTTCGCCCATCCCTTTGGCAAATTCGGGGTGGTTGGTTACACCCGCAGCGCCACACAACTTTTGTTGGGTTTGCACTTGCCTATATATTTGCATGCTCCTTTGTACTCTGGTCCGGTGCGCTCCCAAAGGGATGGCTCTGGTCCGGTGCGCTCCCAAAGGGATGGCTCTAGTCCGGTGCGCTCCCAAAGGGATGGCTCTGGTACGTGGAACATGGGTTGCGCAATCCATGGAAGTTGCGCAACCCATCCGGGTTACACAGCTCACCAAACCTCGCATAGTCAATTCGCGACGACGGTGAGTGGGTTGCGCAACCCACCGTGTTTTGTGCATATGCATGAAACCGCAACCTGAGTTGCGCAACACATATGGGTGCTATGCTGCCTGGTCCAAAAATAATGGCTGCACGAATCCAACTGGGGATGCGCCACAAAGAAGCATGCCACATACTTCGCCAAACCCCGGTGGTGGGTTCCGTTGCGCGAAAGGTGTTGTTTTGGCAAAATTGTTGTATGGTGTTGTTGGTGTATCGCAGGATGCTTGTGCAAAATTTCTGATTTGGAAGCGCAAGCCGATGTACCATCCCGGTTGTGGAACCCTCGGCAGTTGCGCAACCCGATGTTCCAGCATCGAATTGCATGACTTTCGTGAGAAGCGCAATCCGGGTTGCGCTTCTGTGGATTGCGCAACCCATGTTCCACGCCCTTAGTCCTTCAGTTGGCAGTGATGGTACAAAGGTGTTCACCTCTGCAGTCAGCTACCTGTATACTTCGGATTGGAGTACAATTTTACAACCATATACCCTCAAACACATTACTTGTGCACACACCCAACCAAAGTCACATGCATTACCACTGATAGTGTTTCTTGGTTGGCAATGTTTGTGCATTACAGAAGCCTGAAATCATTTACACACCATGAACAGCATTCCAAGTGTCAAACATGTGTATTTGTCATGTTTTGTATAGACTGTATAGGGTCGCCTCTTAGAGAGTACAACACTTAGGTATATCTTTGTGTACTCTCACTCTATCTAATATTCAATTTTCAAGTTTGATATGGTATTACGCGTAGGTAGGATCCCCCCCCCCCCCACCTATCGCTTCCGCTCACCCCTCACTGGGCCCCGTCGCGCCCCTCCCATGACCCCTGGCGCCCCTCCTGGGCTTCGTAGCGCCCCTCCCAGGCCCCGTCGCGCCCCTCCCAGGCCCCGTCGCGCTCCTCCCAGGCCCCGTAGCGCCCCTCCTGGGTCCCGTAGCGCCCCTCCTGGGCCTCGTCGCGCTCCTCCCAGGCCCCGTCGCGCCCCTCCCAGGCTCCGTAGCGTCCCTACTGGGCCCCGTCGCGCCCCTCCTGGGCCCCGTAGCGCCCCTCCTGGGCCCCGTCGCGCCCTCCCTGGGCCCTGTAGCGCCCCTCCTGGGCCCCGTCGCACCCCTCCCAGGCCCCGTCGCGCCCCTCCTAGGCCCCTTAGCGCCCCTCCTGGGCCCCGTTGCGCCCCTCCTGGGCCCCTGTAGCGCCCCTCCTGGGCCCCCGTCGTGCCCCTCCTGGGCCCCGTAGCGCCCCTCCTGGGCCGCGTCGTACCCCCCCCCCTGGTCCCGTCGCCCCTGCCCGACCCCGTCGCAGCCGCCCGGCCCTGTCGCGCCCGCCCGGCGCCGTCGCACCCGCCCGGCCCCGTCGCAGCCGCCTGGCCCCGTCGCACCCTGCCTGGCCCCGTCGCAGCCGCCCGGCCCCGTCGCACCCGCCCGGCCCCGTCGCACCCTGCCCGGCCCCGTCGCAGCCGCACGGCCCCGTCGCACCAGCCCGGCCGCCGTCCCGCTCGCCCGGCCCCGTCGCACCGGCCCGGCCCTGCCGCACCCGCCCGGCGCCGTCGCCCCAGCCCGGCCCCGTCGCGCCCGCTCGGCCCCGTCGCCCCGTCCCGGCCCTGTCGCACCAGCCCGGCCCCGTCGCGCCCGCCCGGCCCCGTCGGGCCAGCTCCGGCCCCGTCCTCCTCACTGGTACGGTTCCCCCCCCACCCCGCCCTGCTCCGTGCCGCCTCGCATCACACTGTACTGCCTGGCACCGCACTACACCGCACTGCACCGCACTGCACCGCACTGCATCGCACTGCACCGCACTGTACCGCACTGCACCGCACTGCACCGCACTGCATCGCACTGCACCGCACTGTACCGCACTGCACCTCACTGCACCGCACTGCATCGCACTGTACCGCACTGCACCGCACTGCACCGCACTGTACCGACTGCACCGCACTGTACCGCACTGCATCTAGCTCCACTGCCCTGCACCGCACTGGACTGTTCCTGATGGCGGCGGAGCTTCGCTTCGACGCTGAAGGTCAGCCCCTAGAGTTCGAGGCGTGGCTTGCCGACCTCCGCCGCCAACTCACTGGCCAGCGGCAGGATGGTGAACCACTTTCCGCACACCTTGACGGTACGCTCCCCTGCCCAGACCCCCCTGCTATTCTGCCCGCTGACCCCACACCCACTGAGCGTGAGTCTACTGCTGCCACTGCCCGTGCGCGCTCTGTCTGGCTTTCTCGCGATGCTGTCGCCCAGCTTGCCATTAGCAACGCCCTCCCCCCGTCCGAGCGTCCTCGCTTTAGGTCCCTCACTACTGCTCAGGCATACTTAGATGCCGTCATCAAGCGCTATTCCACCCCTCCGGCTGCCTCGGTGGGTCGCCTGATCCTCCCGATGCTCTTTCCTGACCTTGCCTCTTTCCCCACTGTCTCTGACCTCGCTGCCCACCTGCGCTCGATAGAGGAGACCTGGCGCGCCGCCTGCACTGACGCACAGCTTAGAGCCCACCAGCCGCCCATTATCTCTACCCTCTACCTGCTTGCAACCCGCCTCCCTGACCGCCTTGCTGTCGCCCGCGACCGCTTCCTTAGCATTCACCCCGCTGACCTCACCCTCACTGACTTTGTAGACACCCTGACTGTGATAGAGACCCGTCACCGCTCCATCGCCCAGGCGAGCGGTGTCGTGCCGGTCCCTATCTTTCAGGGTTGTGCCCCCGCCCAGTGTACCTTCTCCGACGGCTCTGTCGCAGTGGCTGAGACTGCTGCTGCCGCGCAGTTTCGTTCGGGGAAGGGCCGCCGCCCCAAGGTTGGGCGCGGCGGAGGCGGCGGCGGGGGTGCGGGAGGGGGTAGTGATGGGGTCGGGTCGTCTGGTGCTGGAGCGGACGAGGGGACCCTGCCCAGTCCAGCTGAGCCGCCGCCCCTGCAGTTGCAGCAGCCGCAGCAGCCGCCGCAGTCGCAGCCTTCGCAGCAGCCGTCGCAGACGCGGCAGACAAGTGTCCTCCCGCCCGGGTGGCCCGGCGCTGGCGGTGGCCGGACGCGTGGTGGTGTGTCGAGTGCTAGCTCTGGCGGCGGGCGCTATCAGTACCAGATCCAGACCGGTCCTCGCCGCGGCTTCGTTTGCGGTAAGATCGGTCACTCCACTCCCCGCTGTTTTCGTCGCCTGGACGACCTCTTTCGGCAGCGCTTCGGCCCGTCGCCAGACCTCCCGGACTGGCACAGCATGCTTAGACGTAGTATTCCGATTTTTGACCTGGACATGGATGCCATTGTTTTTGCTCTGCATGTGATGTATGCTGATGACTCTAGTGTGCTTCCAGCTTATTACTCACTGTTGCCTAGTGTAGGTGTGCCTAGTGTAGCCTCCCCTGCTGCGTCAGGCGTAGGATCCTCTGCTTTGTGTAGTCTTGGTGCTTCCGCCGTCGTTCCGTCGCCAGACGCCTCTGCTTCGCTTTCCTTCACCTTGGACTCTGGCGCTTCTTGGTGTTTCTTCCGCGACTCCACCACCCTGACGCCGCTTCCTGTTCCTGCTGCCGTTTCTCTTGCTGACCCCTCCGGCGGTCCGGTAGTCGCCCGCAGTTCCACCACCCTTCCCTGTCCGGCGGTTCCTTCGGGCTCTCTTACAGGTCTGCATATCCCCTCGTTCTCCAGGAACCTAGTTGGTGTCGGCTGCCTCCAGGACCTTGGCGTCACCACTACGTTCCCTGGTCACGAGCGGTATGCTGTCTGTACCGAGGCCGCCACTGGTGCCCCCCTGTCCACGTTCCCCCGGGACCCGGTGTCCGGCCTGTTCACTCTGGACACCGTGACCCCCCCGGCTGGAGCGCTCACTCAGGTTGCTGCTGCCTGCTCCTGTCGATCCCTCACTCACCCGACCCTCCTTTGGCACCACCGCCTAGGTCACCCTGCGCTCCCGCGTCTGCGTCACATGTCCCAGCACGGTCTTGTCCTTGGTCTCCCAGGTTCTCTCCCCGCGTTTCCCTCCTCCCCAGCTCCACCTTGCACGCCTTGTGTCGAGGGTCGGCTTCGCCGTGCCCCTCACTCCTCCTCGTTCCCCCCTACCGCCGCGCCGCTGCAGACCCTGCACCTGGACGTCTGGGGCCCCGCCCCCGTCCCTGGGCCGCGTCGCGAGCGCTACTTCCTTGTGCTTGTCGACGACTTCACTCGTTACACCACAGTCTTTCCCCTCGAGCGCAAGGCCGACGTGCCTGGCGCTCTCATCCCTTGGCTTGTCTCTGCGCGTGTCCACCGCGGTCTCCCTGTCTTGCGTCTTCACTCAGACCGTGGTGGCGAGTTTGCCTCAGGTGTCCTTGGTCGCTTTTGTCGTGCGGAGGGCATCACCCAGACGTTTACCCTACCGGACTCCCCACAGCAGAATGGGGTCGCTGAGCAACGCATTGGTTTGGTCATGGAGGTGGCTCGCACCTCCATGATCCATGCCGGTGCACCCCATTTTCTGTGGCCGTTCACTGTGCGCTACGCTTCTCACCAGCTTAACTTGTGGCCGCACCCTCAGCAGCCGCAGGTTTCGCCGACCCGTCTTTGGACTGGGTCTCCTGGTGACGCGTCTGCGTTCCACGTCTGGGGCTGCCTTGCTCACGTTCGTGCCTCCGGCACGGACAAGCTCACCGCCCGCACTCTTCCCTGCGTCTTCCTCGGTTTTCCCCTTGACGCGTCCGACTGGCACTTTTACCACCCGCCGTCTCACCGCTTCTTTCACTCTCGTGACGTCACCTTTGACGAGTCCGTCCCCTACTACCGTCGCTTCCCCCACCGTGGTCCCCCGTTTACCCCCCCCCCTGTTCCTGGCCACCCCTTCCCCGGTAGTCCCTGCCCCTCCTCCACCTCCTCCCCGTCCCACCCCCTCTGGTGTGTCCCACGTCACCCCCCTTCCGTCGGTGGACCCGGTTGAGGAGTCTTCTGACTCTGGTGGCCCTCCTGTGCAGTCCTCCCCGGCTGCCCCTCCCCCGGTGTCCCCTCCCCAGTCCCCTCCTCCACCGCCTCTGCCGCCTCTGCAGCCGTCGTTGTCGCTGCCGCCGCCGCCACTGCCGCCACTGCCGCCGCCGTCGCAGCACCCGTTCGCTGACTCTGGGGGTGCTCGTCCCGGTAGCCCTGGGGGTGGTCCCTCTGGGGGTGCTGGTGTGGAGAGTGCCGGTGGTAGCCGAGGAGCAGCTTGCGGTCCCGGTGTCGCCGTTGTGCCGCCGCAGCAGCAGTCCCCGCCGGTGTCAGCCCTTCGCCTGCTCGGCCTTCCGTCCCCCGACCCTCCGTCGGTTCCTCCCCGGCCGTCTCCTCCTCTTCCTGTCTACGGCCCTGTCTTCCCTCCGCCGGACTCGTCCCCGGCCCGTCTCCCCCCTCGTTCCCCTCCTGTGTCCCCTCCTCTGTCTCCTGACCCGACTCCTCCGTCGCACGTCTGGTCTCACCGTCCCTCCCGTGCTCGTCCTGCCTCGCCTGTCTTGCGCTCTCACCCTATGTTGCTTCGTTCCCACGCGTCTCGTCCTCCCCTTCTGCCGTCGCCTCCTCCGTCCTCCCTTGTTGTTGCACCCCCCCCGCTGTCTGACTACCTTCGTGCCGCTCGTCCCCTTGTTCCTCGGGTCCTTGCCTCTCTCGTTACCGACCCGTCTGTTCCGGCCTCGTGCCTTGACGCTCTTGTCGCTGCTGTCGCTGACTTCGCCTCTACCCGCCGCCTTGACTACGCCTCCGCTCTGGTCTCTGACCCTGCCTGTCCTCCGTCTGTCGGGGGTGCTCCTGCCCTTGGCAGTGACGTCCTGGAAGACCGCCAGTTCGAGCTTGCTTTCCTGTCCGAGGCTGCTCCCCATCTCTGTTCCATGCTGCTAGTCCCTGAGGGTGACCCAGACGCTTTCGACATCCCGACCCCTCGCACTTACGCTGAGGCGACTTCGGGACCCTGGGCCTCGCAGTGGATAGCTGCCATGGAGCAAGAGATGGCATCTTGGAGATCCACCGGCACCTTCGTCGACGCAGTTCCCCCACCTGGGGTGAACGTAGTCGATGGTCGCTGGCTCTTCAAGGTGAAGCGCCCTCCTGGAGAGCCGCCTGTCTTCAAGGCGCACTATGTGGCTAGAGGCTTCAGTCAGCGCGAGGGGGTGGACTTCTTTCAGACCTTCGCTCCGACCCCGAAGATGACTACTCTTCGGGTTCTGTTACACCTAGCTGCTCAGCGTGACTACGAGCTTCACTCCCTCGACTTCTCCACTGCCTTCCTTCAGGGCAGCCTACACGAGCAGGTCTACCTGCGGCGCCCTCAGGGCTTCACTGGCACCTTCCCTCCTGGGACCCAGTGGCTCCTGCGGCGCCCCGTCTACGGCCTGCGCCAGGCTTCCCGTGAGTGGCACGACACTCTCCGTGCTACGCTTGCTGACCTGCAGTTCTTTCCGTCTTCCGCAGACCCTTCACTCTTCGTTCGTGCTGGCCAGACTTCGTTCTACATCCTTGTTTACGTCGACGACCTGGTCTTTGCCACAGCTGACAGGGACGCACTGGCCTCCGTGAAGGCAGATCTGCTGAAGAGACACACCTGCACTGACCTTGGAGAACTGCGCCGTTACCTTGGCTTGCAGATCTCCAGGGACAGAGCTGCGCGCACCATCACCCTGACTCAGTCACACTTGGTGCGCCAGGTCCTTCAGAGGTTCAGCCTTCAGTTCTCCTCTGCACAGCCCACCCCTCTGCCTGTAGACCACAGACTCTCCGCTCCAGTGTCTGAGGAGTTGGTAGAGCCCAGCGGCCCCTACGCAGAGCTGGTGGGTTGCCTCATGTACCTGATGACTTGCACTCGCCCAGATCTCGCATACCCTCTCAGCATCCTGGCTCGCTTTGTGGCCACAGGCAGACACCGACCGCAACACTGGTCTGCTGCTAAGAGGGTTTTGCGTTATCTTGCTAGTACATCGGGCATGGGGTTAGTGCTAGGAGGACGCAGGCCAGTGGTCCTTACTGGACACACAGACGCTTCGTGGGCAGACGACGCTGAGACACTCAGGTCTACCCAGGGCTACTGCTTCAGCCTTGGCTCAGGTGCCGTCTCGTGGAGAGCTACCCGCTCCTCGTCTGTTGCGCAGTCCAGCTGTGAGGCCGAGATCTACGCTGGTGCCATGGCGGCACAGGAGCTCCGCTGGCTGACCTTTTTGCTCACTGACTTAGGTGAGCAGCCTAGCTCTGCCCCGGTCCTGTTTGCTGACAACAGGGCCATGATCCTCCTGTGTCAGGAGCCTCGACTCGAGGGCAGAGCGAAGCACATTCAGCTGCGGTACTTCCTCTTGCGTAAGCTACAGCAGCGACGTCAGGCTCGCGTAGTACACTTGGCCTCAGGTGCCAACACGGCTGATATCTTTACGAAGGCGCTTGCGCCTAAAGATCATCAGCGGCACTGTGTACAGCTTGGTCTAGTTCCTGTAGCCTCTCACTTGCTAGGACCTTGACTTTGTACTGTCCTTTATACGTATACTCAGACTGGACTTGTGTCCTCTCGCAGTGGCTGGACTAGTAGTGCCGCCCTGCCCTTGTTCTTGCCTTGTTTGTACTCCTTCTGACTGGTCTCTCAGACCCTTGTCTCAGAGGTTGGACTAGTAGTGCCGCCCTGAGCTGTTTGTTTAGGACATTCCCCTATGCAGTCTAGGGGGTGTCAAACATGTGTATTTGTCATGTTTTGTATAGACTGTATAGGGTCGCCTCTTAGAGAGTACAACACTTAGGTATATCTTTGTGTACTCTCACTCTATCTAATATTCAATTTTCAAGTTTGATACCAAGGTCTTACAATGTCTATAATACAAAGGGAAAACACCCAAATTCCAAGCTAATGTAGGTACATAATGCAATAAAAACCACGAGAGGCCACTTGTCCAGTACAGGTACACCCGGGTGCTGCCTGCCTTGACACCAGATTCACAGGCTAGAGTGGTGCAGAAGTGGGTGGAGGCAACGTAGGCATTGATACCAAATTCAGAGCATACATAATGTACACCAATGCAAGGCTCGCCTTGAACAGCTTTCAGTTGTATCAATCCCAGAGCCTAGAGCGGGGCAGGGGTGCTGGCAATGGCCTCTCGCTTGCTGGTGAGCTGCACGTCAAACGAGACCAGAGTATTGGTGCTCTACTGCTGATGAAACTCCGCTGCTATCGCATTCGTGCCCTGCTGCTCCCACCCCCAACACAGGCTGCTGTCTTGACACCAAATCCACAGTTTAGAGCGGGGAAGGGGTGCAGGCAATGGCCTCTCTCTTGCTGGTGAGCTGCACATCAAAGGTCACCAGAGTATTGGTGCTCTTCTGCTGGTGCACCTCCACTGCTATCACATTCGCGCCCTGCTGCACCCACCCCCCAGACAGCACCGACGGCACCCAGCGCCACACGTAGCCGCCTGTGGCAGTGGTGGTGGGGGTGATGGGGCCCCACCACGCAGGTTGCATTTGGAAGCGGTATGCCTCGACACCATTAAGATACACCACCTGAGAGGGGTGATTGGGTTACGGACAACAGTGAGAAAAGGCAATGCAGTGCATGCCGCACGTGATGGTGGGGGTGATGGGGCCCCACCACGCTGGCTACACCTGAAAGCGATAAGCCTCGACACCATTGAGATACACCACCAGAGAGGGGGGATTGGGAAACGGACAACAGTGAGCAACAGCAACGCACGGCGCGATACACAAGCCCCCAGTGGTAAAAAGGGGATCAGGGTCGTTCCTTCCTAGGCGGAGGGGATTGGGAAACGGAAAACAGTGAGAAAAGGCAATGCAGTGCATGCCACACATAGCCGCCAGTGGAAGTGGTGGTGGGGGTGATGGGCCCCACCACGCCGGCTGCATCTGAAAGCGATAAGCCTCGACACCATTGATGCACACCACTTGAGAGGGGATTGGGAAACGGACAACAGTAAGCAACAGCAATGCATGGAGCGATACACAAGCCCCCAGTGGTAAAGAGGGGATCAGGGTCGTTCGTTCCTGGACGGAATTGGTAACTGTAGCTGGTTTGGCAGAAACATACTACACAGGTGGGGGAAAAAAAAATTGTCTGAACCCGGAATCGAACCGGAGACCTCCAGTGTGTGAGACTGGCGTGATAACCGACTACACCATCCAGACATGCTAAGTGATGAATCTAAAAAATCCCGACCTTTAGATCAAGAGGACAGCACTTAGCACAGGAACACTGATGGAAGAATTCACAGTGCTATCAGCAGCATTGAGAGAAACAGTGAGGGCCACGTAGCAGGCAGCACACATGTGAACTCAACAGGAGGGACATGCGGAGCACAGAGCACAGATACTCACAGCGCCGTCAGCGATGTCGAGGGAGACAGTGATGGCCACGTTGCAAGCAGCATAAGAGACGGTGAAGGTGTGCAGAGGTGAGAGCACAACTAGGAAAGAGCACAGATGAGAGAAGAACTCACAGCGCCATCTGCCATGTTGAGGCAGACGGTGAGGGCCACGTGGCAGGTGGCGTCACACGTGTGAGCACGCCAGGAGGGCGCACATGAGAGCAGAGCATTGATGAGCGCACAAATGGGAGCACAGAGCACAGATACTCACAGCGCCGTCGGCAATATTCAGGGAGACAGTGAGGGCCACGTTGCAGGCAGCGTCAGATACGGCAAAGGTGCGGCGGAAATAGTAGGCCACACGGGGAGGGGTGCTGGGGGCGCTGAGGCCGCTGCCCAGGGTGAGATTGGTGGCTGCCCTGCTGTTCCCAGCAGCAATGGGGGTGGCGCCTGGTTTGGCAGGGGGAAGGAGGAGAGCGACAAGACTGAGGGCGCTGAACAGAGTCAGGTTGGCGGTTGCCCTGTTGGGAGAGAGAGTGGGAGGGAAGGAGGGAGGGAAAGAGGGAGGGAAAGAGGGAGGGAAAGAGGGAGGGAAAGAGGGAGGGAAAGAGGGAGGGAAAGAGGGAGGGAAAGAGGGAGGAGTCACACAGTTGAGGGTGCTGCCCACCGTCAGGTTGGTGGCTGCCCTGCTGCAGGGCCACCTTCAACCCATGCGGGCGCCACCTTTGAGCCAGGCAGAGTCATCGAAGGAGGGAAGGTACTAGGAGTCAGGGGGAGTTACAGGCAGGGAGAGGTGGCAACAGCACCAGAAGAGCTAACTGCCCTTCGTCAGCACTCTGAACGGCCTTGGTCATACCTTTGAGCCATGCGGGTCTCACCTTTGAGCCAGGCAGAGTCATCGAAGGACGGCAGGTACCAGGAGTCAGGGGGAGGTGCAGGCAGGGAGGCGTCGTTGTAGGCCCACGAGGACCCTTGCTGTTGTCACCAATGGAGGGTAACAGAGGGCAACGGAGATTGAGAAAAACAGGGAAACAGAGAGCGAGTCAGAATAGATAGGCCGTGGTGCAGGCAGCCAGCGTCGTTGTAGGTCCATGTGGGCCCTAGCTCTTGGCACAGAATACGGGAGGGGAGGGGAAAGTGGATAGTGGGGGACTGGAATAGAAGTGCGCTGCAGCAGGCACAGGCAGTGAGGCATCGTTGTAGGCCCATGTGGACCCTTGCTGTGGGCAAAGAACACAGGTAAAAGGATTGGAAGGGAGAGTGGGAAAACGAGCAGGTGTTGCGGGCAGGAGAGTGTGGGAAGGTGAATGTCAGATGATCCCATCTGTCTGCCTCACCGCAGGCAGCAGAGTGTCGGAAGGAGTGGTGCAGAGGCAGGCGCGACAGGAAAAGCATGGCCCTTGACAAGAGTGGATGCCATGTGCCACACAACTTGCGCATGGCAATCAGTCTCCACCGCGAGCAGCAGAGGTCAGTAGGCGGCGTGCGGACGCAAGCCATAGAAAGAGCCAGAGAGAGTGGCGCATGGCTGCATGGCGTGAGATGTGAGCTCGAGGTACGTAGCACATTGCTGTTCCTCCTAATGTTCCTCTTACCGCGAGCAGCAGGGTGTCAGCAGGGGGCGTGCGGACACAGGCAGGTGGAGAGCCAGGCAGCGCGGAGCAGGGCTGCATGGCGTGGCGGGTGAGCTCGAGGTCCATGACAGCATCGCTGGACCACCGTGATTGGTGCAGCTGCACTGCCAACCAGTTGGTGCCAGGCTGGTGAAGCCAGGGGGAGGACAGGATACAGAGTGGGAAGGAACAAGTGTGAGGCAGCCCGAAGAATGAATGGTGCAGCAGCACCACCACCCAGTTGGCATGAGAGGAGGGTAGAAACTAGATTCCTACACAAGCAAGGACATACCCAGGGGAGGTGTTACCCAGGAGGGAGGTGTTACCCAGGAGAGGTGATATCTGCAGGAAATGCCCTACCGATCTGAAGGCAGTGCTGTTGAAGAAGCAGGAAAAGGAGGAGCTACGACCTAGAGAAGGTCCTATCCAGGGCGGTACTACCTGGAGGAATAACGTTACCTGTAGAAACTGGGCGAGCGATCTGAAGGCAGTGCTGTTGTAGAAGGTGGTCTTCTCTGGCCCCCACGTGCCCGCAGCAGCGAAGGAGGAGGCGGTGATGGGGCCAGCCGGCATGTTGGTGCGGAAGAACTCGGCACCGTTCATCAGCAGCAGCGCCCCGTCGTCCCGCTGTATGGATGCAGCTGTGATGGGTACAACGGGGGGCGAGAGGGAGCAGCGGCAGCAGGCATAGAGAAGTCGTTGGTGAGGTGGCCACCAGGCAAGTTGGATCTGAAGAACTCTTGCCGTTCAGTGCGAGTAGAGCCCTGTCGCCCCTCTGGATGGATGCAGCTGTTTAAGGGGTGCAAAAACCAGAGGTGGGAATGAAGGGGTGCAAGCATAGTGGCCTGAGAGCTGGTTGCAGGTGGTGCTGTGTCAGGCAGCATGTTGGAGCGAGAGTATGTGTTGCCGTTCTTGAGGAGTAGAGCACCGCTGTCATGCTGCTGGATGGATGCAACAAATGTTCGAGGTGGGGTAGGGAATCCGCACAGTAGCTCCAGTCCAGGTGTTGTTGACCAGCTCTAGAGGAAAAAATACAGTAACCACAGCAACACGGAAGAGAGGTGTAGCAGAGAGTGCAGGAGAGGTTAAGGGAGGAGGGGAAGCTCCAGGTGATTTTGACCTCCTCTTCGGTGAGAGAGGAGCGTTAGAGGAAGAAGTAGAGTCCGCACGGCAACAAGGCATAGAGGTGTAAAGAGAATAAGAGAGAAGGGAAACGCACAGGTGTTGTTGACGTCCTCCTCTGTGAGAGAGAAGCTCTTGAGGAAGAAGTAGGATCAGCACAAAACGAGTAGATACAGAGGTGCAGCGGAGAAATGAGAAGGAAAGGGAGGGCAACTCACAGTAGCTCCAGGTGTTGTTGACCTCGTCCTCCTCTGTGAGAGGGAAGCTCTTGAGGAAAAACTAGGCGGAGTCAGCATGGCAGCAAGAAGTATAGAGGTGTGAAGAGAATAAGAGGGAAGGGAAACGCACAGTAGCTCCAGGTGTTGTTGACGTCCTCCTCTGTGAGAGGGAAGCTCTTGAGGAAAAACTAGGCGGAGTCAGCATGGCAGCAAGAAGTATACAGGTGTGAAGAGAATAAGAGGGAAGGGAAACGCACAGTAGCTCCAGGTGTTGTTGACGTCCTCCTCTGTAAGAGGGAAGCTCTTGAGGAAGAAGTAGGCACTGTCGCCACTGGCGAGCTGCGAGAGGTTGGTGGCTGCAGCTGATGCTGTGTTGAACCCGAACGGTGCCGCTCCCTCCTTGAGCAGGCGAGCTGGCACGTTGCTGGTAGGGGTCAAAAGGGGAGGGGAGGAAGCAGGCAGAGGCACCAGTAGCAAGCTGCGAGGTGTTGTTCTGGGGAGAGCAGGAGCAGGGGAAAAGCAGCCATCCAGCAGCGCCCTTGGCAAAAGTTGTGAGCGGCACAGAGAGGGGGCTTTGAGGCAGGCACTGTATACATGGTGCTAACAGGCCAAGGGCGTACCTGTTGATGCTCCACGAGGGGTAGGACTGGGGAAGGTACCCCTTGTACGGTACCCAGCAGCGCTCTTATTGAACACTGTGAGCGGCACTGTGAGGGGGCCGACAGGCACGCACTGCCCCTTGAAGCACACAGAGCCATCAAGTCATGTAGGCTTACAAGTTACAAGGGCTTACGTGTTGGTGCTCCAGGTGGGGTATGACTGCGGCAGATACCCCTTGTCATAGTACAGCCACCCAGAGGCGCCCTTGGCAATAGTGGTAAGCGGCACTGTGAGGGGGCCAACAGGCAGGCACTGCCCCTTGAAGCACACGGAGCCGTTGGCGCAGTCGAGCTGCGGGGCGGAGAGGGAGGGCGAGTTGTCCACCAGCCCGTCGCAGTTGTCGTCCACTCCGTTGCACCTGGTAAAGGGAGAGGAAGCATGAGCGGGGGAGCAGGGGAGCAGCGGGCTTTAGAGTCAAATCAAAAGCCAGCAGCAGGAGAGGGAGGGCGAGTTGTTGACGAGAGCATCACAGTTGTCGTCCATACATTGCAACTGATGTAGGAGCAGAGCAGAATGAGAGGAGCGAAGGGGGTGGGAGGGTGGAGGATTTAAAGTCAACCCAAGAGCCATCATGGTAACCACACTCTCAGACCGTGCTTTGATTTAGAACACCTACTCACACTTCCGACCCTTGAGCGCAGAGGGTTCAGCTGGTTGTTTTGAGTTCCCAAGAACCAACCCAACCCAAGGGGATGTGCGCAGAGCAGTTTGTAGAAGACCCCAACAATGCATGGCTCAACGTCAGCTCTACAGAATTTCCATGTAGCATTCACCCATGCGAATCACTCACAGACCCATTGGAATTGCTCACACACCCATGTGCACCACTCACACTTCCGGCCTGTGCACCGGTGCAGTGCGGTTCTGGAAGGCCCCAGCAATGCAGGGCTCATTGAAGCACTTGTGATTCCCACCCATGCGCAGCACTCACTCGCGCTCCTTCCCATATCAGCTACTCACACTTCCGGCCCGTGCACGGGCGCCGTGCAGTTCTGGAACGCCCCCTCGATGCACGTCTCCACGCCAGCCCCACAGGGGTTGCGGCAGGGGCGCGTGAGAGGCAGATCGGTGAGCGGGTCGATGTCCACCTTGCCTGAAGTTGGGGGAGGGTTTCAGAAGAGTGCGAGGGAAAGGTGCATGTATGGTTGAGGGGGGGGGTGGTGAGGGGGAGGGTGGTGAGAGGCAGGTGTGTGTGCAGGGGGTATGCGGGGGTTCCACCCTCCCACCACCATCATTAGCCCATCGCACCTCCTGCAATATCAGCATACCGCTACAAGGTGCGCTGCTGCACCCACACTCCCTCCAGCACGCATCCTCCCACCATCCTCCACGCTCTCTCACTCACCATCGTTGTTGTTGTCGAGCCCATCGCACACCTCCTGCAATATCAGCATACCGCTACAAGGTGCGCTGCTGCACCCACACTCCCTCCAGCACGCATCCTCCCACCATCCTCCATGCTCTCTCACTCACCATCGTTGTTGTTGTCGAGCCCATCGCACACCTCCTGCAATATCAGCATACCGCTACAACGTGCGCTGCTGCATCCACACTCCCTCCAGCACGCATCCTCCCACCATCCTCCACGCTCTCTCACTCACCATCGTTGTTGTTGTCGAGCCCATCGCACACCTCCTGCAGTATCAACACTCCGCTGCACGTTGCGCTGCTGCAAGGTGGGAACGAAAGGGGGTGAGGTGGAGTGGATGGGTGGAAACGGAAGGAGACGGAGTGGGTGGGTGAGAGCAAAGGGAGATGGGGGAAGGCGAAAGTCGCACCTTCAAGGACCTTTGAGCAATTACCAAGCTAAGCTTCGCACTCAGAAGCAATAGAGTGGAGGCGAGGAGAAAGCCAAAAGCGTGGTACTGACTCCATTGAAAGGTGCCTTGACTGCATGAAGGCACGGCAGGACATTCAACGCGCATGGGACTCCACTGCAATGTGGTCGGTGCCTTGAGGCTTCCAATATACCAAACAAACCGCTTTTTACAAGAAGGAATCACTCCATCTGAGCCTCTCGTCCCAGCAACTCACTCCATATGAGCCGACAGCTTGAGGTCGAAGAAGGTCTCCGTCGTCCAGATGGCCGCGTGGAACTCCATTACAGCCATGTGCTTGGTGTGCTTTGACTCTCCCAATCCCCTGCACCCACCTCTTCTCCCAAGGGCTCACCCCCAACAACTCACTCCATCTGAGCCGACAGCTTGAGGTCGAAGAAGTTTTCGGTCGTCCAGATGGCCGCGTGCGACTCCGCAGCAATGTAGTTGGTGCCCTCCGCCAGGGAGAAGGGAGCCGTGGCGTTGAGAGGGATGAAAAAAGAGGCGAAGTCCCACACGTTCTGGTTGGAGAGGGCCTGGTGCGGAGGGGGGCCGGAAGGGAGGTTCAGGGAGTGGAGTGAGAGAGCAGGAGGAAGGCAAGGAGAAGGGCGCCATGGTATTGAATGGGCTAAAGAATGAGGTGGCGCCCCACACGTTCTGGTTGGAGAGGGCCTGGTGCGGAGGGGGGGAAGAAGGAGGGGGCAGGAAGGGAGGGAGAATGGGGGTCAGAGGCGAAGGAGACGGGCGCTGTGGCGTTGAGAGAGGGATGAAGAAGGACGTGAAGCGAACTCCCACACATTCTGGTTCGAGAGGGCCTGTGGAAGTTAGGGAGATAGGAGGGGCAGGGAAGGGCATGGACGGGCATGGACGGGCATGGACGGGCATGGACGGGCATGGACGGGCATGGACGGGCATGGACGGGCATGGACGGGCACGGACGGGAGGGTTGTAAGAGCAGCAGGAGAATGGGGAGCACCCTCGTAGTTCTTGAGATAGCCTCACTCTAGTCTTGCCCTGGACAAAACGTTGACAGCACCGGGCGCCATGTTGACTCGTAGCATCTCCACCCCATTCAGGTGCAGCAGCACCCCGTCATCGCACGCGCCAACAGCGCTGTGGCACGCACTCATGGACGGTGGCAGTATTGGCGCACCTCAACGCCCATCAGATGAGAGTTGCACTCACCCTGGAGGACACATTGACAGGACCCGGCGCCATGTTGACTCGCAGCATCTCGACGCCGTTGAGATACAGCAGCACCCCGTCGTTCACAATCACGTCCACGAACAGCCCCGTGACACACGCGCTGCTGGCCACCTTGAATGCGCGCCGGTAGTAGAAGGTGGGAAGAGCGTCGCCTGAGGGGGGGGTCCATGTGTTGACGCCATTCCACCGCCCTGGTTGTCGGTAGGGGATGGGAGAAGAGAGGGGTAGGGGATGGCATGTATTTTTGCATGCTCGGATCTCGCTCCAGCTAGTAGAAGGTGGGGGGGAGCGCGCCCCCCAAGGGGGGAGAGCACGTGTTGACACCATTCCACCAGCCTGGTGCAAGGAGGGACGAAGAAGAGATTGGGCCGACAGGCATTAAAAGTTAAGAAGGTTGGTTTTCAAAGTTGATTGGGCCGACAGGCATTCAAATTTCAGTACGTTGGTTTTGAGACATCCCAAAACTAATGTTGACGCCATTCCACTGCCCTGGTGGAAGGAGGGACGAAGAGAACGGGCCGAGAGGCATTCAAGTTGAAAGAGGCAGGAGGACGAGAATGACCCAATGCCACTCGGGCACCCTAGTAGAAGGTGGATGAGGGTATCGTTGGCTTGACACACATGCATCCCATGCCCACACATGCATCCCATGCCCACACATGCATCCCATGCCCACACATGCATCCTTGCCTACACATGCTTGCATCGAATACCCACAAATGCTGAATGCGTATCCAACCATACGTACATCCAACATAACCAATGATAGCCGGGCCTCGGGGCCAGCTGGCATCGTTGAAGCGTGGAGAGCTGAAGCCCATGGCGCCTGTGATGGCTGCATGCAGCTCCCTGCCGCTCACGTCGTACGCCCATGTGGATTCCGGTGCTATCAGCCCACAGCGACTGGTGATGGTGGGGGTGGTGGGGGTGGTGGGGTGGTGGGGGGTGATGGAAAGGACGGCAGCGAAGAGCGATTAAAACACGCATGGCTGCATGCAGCTCCCTGCCGCTCACGTCGTACGCCCATGTGGATTCCGATGCTATCAGCCCGTAGCGACTGGTGCACGGGGGGAGGGGGAGGGAGGGTGAGTGGACAGGAAGGCAGCATAGACATAGTCATAGTGAGTGGCCTGTGCGCTGCCCGGATGCGTGCAGCTCCCTTCCACTCACGCCGTATACCCATGCGGGCCCTGGTGCTATCAACCCACAGCGATTGGTGATGGTGGGGACAGGGGGGGGTGGGGGGGGAGGGATGGGGGCAGCAGGGGGCAGAAAGGGTGAGTAGGAGAGATGAGATGCAGCAGCACGGCTGCAGGCCCCCGCCACTCACGTCGTATGCCCAGGTTGCCCCACGTTCTATGTGCCTGCCACGGCCTGAGATGGTGCGGGTGCGAGGATCGGGGGGGCGGGATGGGGGGAGCAGGGGGGACAGAAAGGGTGAGAAGGAGAGATGAGATGAACGACAGATGCAACCCACATTGTACACCCATGTGGCTCCCGGTGTTATCAACCCACACCCACGGTGTCTTGTGCACCAGGGGAGATTGGGGGGGAGGGGGGAGGCAACACGGTGAATGACCCGCATGCAGCCCCCTGCTACTCACAGCATACGCCCGCGTGGATCCTGGTGCTGCTATCAGCCCACAGCGACTGGTGCACGAGGGTAGGCACTTACTGGGGGAGGCGGCAACTAACTAAGCACAGGTTTGGGGGAGGCGCGGAGCAGGCACTTACTAGGGTAGGCGGCAACCAACGACAGGGTTGGGGGAGGCGCGGAGCACGACAGGGTCGGAGTAGGAGCCGTCAAAGAGCAGCTCGATGGTGGGCTTGAACTTGAAACACACAAATGAGAACTGCAGCGCTGCACGGTCTGCTGTGCCCAGGCAAGCCCTGAGGGAGAGATGTAGCGTGCGGACGGAGGGGGGAGAAGGCGGTTGTTGAATGACAGTGGGCTGGAACTTTAAACAGACGAATAAGGATTTCACTGCTGCAGGGTCTGCTGTGCCGGGCCCGGGACAGGCCCCGAGGGACGGGTGTGAGTTTTTGGGGGAGAAGGAGCGAGGATGGGTTGTGGAAGCTTGAAGCGCACAAAGGAGAGGAGCAGTGGATCACGCTCAGGGTAGGAGATGGTATTGCTCGTAACTATAGATGTGCCTGCGGCCTGCCCATGCATTGGGGAGAGATGGACATAGTGGTGGGGGCGAGGGGCGCATGGTTGGAAGAAGAAGAGAGGGAGGGGGTCCACTCACATTGGACAGCAGTAATACAAGGTCTAGGGTGAAAGCCTAACACAAGACAGCAGCAAATTACAAAAGCAGCACCACCATAAGTAGCACCACCATCAGAGCGCCACTCACTTCCTGTTCACATTCTGCTCCTCGTTGATCGCCCATTGGTTGCTCTGCCTGGCGGGAATCATCAACGTGTCCGGCCCAGCCCCTCATACCATCAACACACAGTCGCACCACCACAAGCACCACCACAAGCACCACCACAAGCACCACCACAAGCACCACCACAAGCACCACCACAAGCACCACCACAAGCACCACCACAAGCACCACCACAAGCACCACCACAAGCACCACCACAAGTACCACCACAAGTACCACAACAAGTACCACCACAAGTACCACCACAAGTACCACCACAAGTACCACCACAAGTACCACCACAAGCATCACCACAAGTACCACCACAAGGACCACCACAAGCACCACCACAAGTACCACCACAAGGACCACAACAAGTACCAGCACAAGTACCAGCACAAGTACCACCCACTCACTTCCAGTTGACATCCTGTTCCTCGTTGATCGCCCACTGGTTGCTCTGCCTTGCCGGGATCCTCAGAGTCACCGGCCCTCCGCACCCGTTGCTGTCGCGCACTTGCACCGTGATGTTGGACGGGAAGAACGCCTGGTTATTACTCGGTAACCCTACGTTGACCTCGTAGGTAGCGTTCGCCAGCAGGGGGACGACGAAGATCCGCTGCCCCGCCGCCCACATGTTGCCGACCGAGCGCAGATTGCCGTCCACAGTGATGACTGCATCGTCCTCAATGCGACGGATGGAGAGGTAGCTGGAATGGGGAAAAGGGGGGTAGCAGGGAGAGGATAACAGATAGAGGCTAGGTAGTGGATCGAGAGGAGTGAGCTACCAGAGGCACCAGGAGCAACGTGCTGTCCTCCCAACCCCATGTTGCTGATCAAGCGCAGATTGCCATCCACTGTGAGGACTGCGTCATCCTCAATGCGACGGATGGAGAGGTAGCTGAGGTGGGGGAGGGGGGGAAGGAACAGATAGAGGATTTCACAACGGCACCACAAACCCATGCCGTGCTCCCAACCACATGTTAGCCACTGAGCACCGATTGCCGACCACTGTAATGACCACGATGAGCATGCCGTCCTCAACACGACGGGTGGAGAGGTAGCTGGGGTGGGGGGAGAGTGGTTAGCAGAAGGGTAGTAGATAGAGGGGTTTTTAGCGCATTGCTCCCTGACCGGGGGCTACTGGCTTTTTGTTAAACCCTAAACTGTGTAGGCTTCAATACGGCGGATAGGGATGGAATGAAAACTGGAGGGAATACGAGGAGGACAGCACGTGCCTGGACAGGCATGCACGTCCATTCCCCATTCCCCATTCCCCATTCCCCATTCCCCATTCCCCATTCCCCATTCCCCATTCCCCATTCCCCATTCCCCATTCCCCATTCCCCATTCCCCATTCCCCATTCCCCATTCCCCATCCCTCATTCCCCATTCCTCATTCCTCACTTCCCTCACCTGAAGTCCCCTCGTTTGCGTGTGTCGGGCACGCTGCTGTTCTCATACACCGAAAATCCCGGTTCCAAGTAAGTGAACATCACAGTGCGGTAGCACGTGCCGGGACACGCGTACGCGTTCCAAGCCGGCACGGGGCGGCACGCAGGGAAGCGCTTGGTAGGGGGCAGCAGGGCGGAGTTGTTGGCCACTAGGTAGCCGCCCAACGAGGCGTTGAGGAACGAGCCGTCCCGGTCCCACAGAGTGTACAGGTCTGTGGCCTCGCTGCCCCCGTTCACATCGCCGCCCTGAGGGGGGAATACAGAACAGAGGATGGGGGCGGGTAGGTAGGAGTAGAGAAAAGCGCAACAGAAGGGGCCGGGTTGTTGGCTAGAACGTTGCCTTTGGAGGTTGAGCTGAGGGGATTCTGATGGGTAGAGCATGGGAGGGGGTTGGGCAGGCTGTAGCATGGTTGGGGGTTGGGCAGGCTGTAGCATGAGAGGGGGTTGGCCAGGCTGTAGCATGAGAGGGGGTGAGGGCAGGTTGTGGCAGGTCAGAAAGAAGCAAGTAGGGAGGTTGGCTGATGAGAGAACATGGAGGGATTGGGGCAACAATTAGCTGGGAACTGGGACGAGTAGGTGATTTTCGAGATTTTTCACAAGTTGTAGGTGATTTTTGAGAATTCTAAAAAATCACCTAGAATGCTGGGAACTGGCATGGCGGTAGGTGAAGATGAAGTGAACAGGGAAGTGGCATGGAGGTAGGTACTAGGTAGCTAGCACTACTCACTGGGAAGGTGAAGTTGCGGGGAGGGAAGAAGAGCAGGTTGGTAGAGTCCGTGCCTTGCACCGCCTGCAAGGATCCTCACAACACAGACAGGGTTGAAGACAGGGTTGAAGGCAGGGTTGAAGGCAGGGTTGAAGGCAGGGTTGAAGGCAGGGTTGAAGGCAGGGTTGAAGGCAGGGTTGAAGGCAGGGTTGAAGGCAGGGTTGAAGGCAGGGTTGAAGGCAGGGTTGAAGGCAGGGTTGAAGGCAGGGTTGAAGGCAGGTTGAAGGCAGAGTTGAAGGCAGGGTTGAAGGCAGGGTTGAAGGCAGAGTTGAAGGCAGGGTTGAAGACAGGTTGGAGACAGGGTTGAAGACAGGTTGGAGACAGGGTTGAAGACAGGGTTGGGGGCAAGGGATGCTTGGAATGCCGTGATGAGCGAGTCACCTATGAGGCCTCGGTCGAATCCTCAGAAGCCAGCCATAGCCAGGGAGATTGAAACCAGCATAACCAAACCCCACCGCACTCCACCAGTGGCAGTAACCAGCACACGGCAGGGAAGGCAGCCTCTCACTGCCACATGGGTGGTGGAGTGGAGACCCATGTGCCCATGGGCGCCCCTTGATGCCTGCTCCCATGGCAGCAACCAGGCTTGAGGCACATGCATGCTACGGCCATCACCACCACATGGTAACCACCTCACCGCTACGCTGATGGCGGTGGCCCATGTGTCGTTGGGAGCATCGTTGAGGCCCGCTCCAATGGCAGCAGGTGGACGGTGCAGGGCGCCATGTCATGTCAGCAATCAGGCATGCGGCACATGAGTGCCATGCCAAGGCCCCTACCAGCATTCTAGTGGCGGCAGCTGGCACATGGTAAGCGCCTCACCGCTATGCTGGTGGCGGTGGCCCATGTGTCCTTGGGAGCTCCATTGATGCCCGTGCCAATGGCAGCAGCTGGGCGGCACGTGCTGTCAAAGGCGTGGAAGCTGCACGGTGGGCGGGAGACGGGAGACGGGTGGGTGGGGTTGAGACTGTGCGAGCATGGAGAGAGTAGGGGGTGGGGATGAGATGGTGCGAGGGAGACGAGAGTCAGTGGAGGGGAGGAGGCGGGTTGTTGGGGTTGAGAGCGGAACTGACAGGAGAATGAAGGGAGGGATGGAAATGTTTGAACGAGTGTGATGCTACAATACAATGCTACAGTGCAACGCTTCAGTGCAATGCTACAGTGCAATGCCTCATTGATGATATGAAGATGCCATGCAATCATCAGAGCATGGTGACAGCATGTGTGCGGTGGAAGACTGGACATGGTGTTATGTAGGCACGGTGGGCATGGGTGGATGAAAGGCGTGGGCTAGAATGCCACCCACCGGCAGTTGGAGATGGCATGAGCGCGGGAGAAGTCGAATCCAAAGGTGGGTTGGTCGATGATGATGCCAAAGAGAGGGTTCTTCCAGTGGCTCCACCCCTGCGACCGGCCCTGCTGCCCTGGGGCTAGAGGGAACCTGCCTCACAGGAAGACAGACGCACACACATGAGCAGAATTTTAAGGCGAGCTGGTCAATCACCTGTTGAGAATGCCAACAAAAACGACTGAAGGTGAGTGATGCTGGTCAATGACGCTGTTGCAGAGAGGGTTCTCCCAACGGCTTCACCCCTGCGACCGGCCCTGATGGCCTGGCGCCAGGGGAACCTGCATTACAGAAACACACGAACACACATGTGCGTGCGCCCATGCATGCCAATCAATGAAGAGTACGCACGTCTGCAGCATGTAGTCACAGTTGCGCGGGTTGCAATAGTTGGGGGGAACGCCCCACAAGGCGGCTCTCAGTCACTCTCACCCTCCTCACTTGTCTCAATCCAATTGCACCCTGGCACTCACTCACTTGCATCCCATCACACGGACACACATCCGGGGCGAGGAGACACACATGCCCCCTGCCAAAACACACTCCATTGATTATCTCACCCCTGTCAACCCCTGTCAACCCCTGTCAACCCCTGTCAACCCCTGTCAACCTCTGCCAACCTCCATCATGCCCCCTTCCCCTGGTACTCACTCGCAGCCCGTCACGTGCCCACACATCTGCGGCGTGGAGTCACAGTTGCGCAGGTTGCCGTAGTTGGGCGACAGCCCCATGAAGCGGCTGTCAGTCACTCAAAGCCTCGACCTTCATCCCCTCTGCACCTGCACCCCCTCTGCGCCTTTAAGCCCTCCCCCAATACTCACTCGCATCCCGTCACAGGGCCACACATCTGCGGAGTGGAGTCACAGTTGCGCGGGTTGCCATAGTTGGGCGACAGCCCCACAAAGCGGCTGTCAGTCACGCGCACCGCCCGTGTTCCCCAGCAGGTTGAGCCCCTGGCGGTTGTCAGCGAAGGTGCTGTTGGTGATGATGATGCCGTCAGAGTTGTGCATGAAGAACCTGACGAGGAAGAGCGGGGGAAGAAGGGGGAAGCGGGCGAGTTGATTTTTTAGTCGACTAAAAAATATTTCATGGAAGAAGGGGGAAACGGGCGAGTTGATTTTTTAGTCGACTAAAAAATCTTTCATGGAAGAAGGGGGAAACGGGCGAGTTGATTTTTTAGTCGACTAAAAAATCTTTCATGGAAGAAGGGGGAAACCGGCGAGTTTCTCCCCAGGAGGTCGAGCCCTTGGCGGGGCGGTTGTCTTGTCAGCGAGCTGCGAAGGTGCTGCTATTGGGGTGGTGAGGATGATACCGTCTGAGTTGTGCATGGCGAAACTGGCGGGGGGGGGGGGGGAGAGAGGAAGAGGGAGAGAGAGTGGAGGAGAGGGAGGGGGGGGAATAGAGCAGCGAAGTGCTGTCGTCACCCACACCACACGCCCGTGTTCCCCAGAGGTGCCGGTTGTCTGTGAATGGGATGTTGGTGGTGATGATGACACCGTCCGAATTCTGCACAAACATGCTGGTGGTGCGGTGGTGGACGGGGGGCATAAGGTGGTGCGGGGAGGAGGGGGATCGGGGGGATAAGGTGCCGCCCGGCCAGCAGGTTGAGGCCATGTTGGCTCTCTGCCAACATGCTGTTCGTGATGATGCTGTTTCAATCGTGCATGACGAGAGGAGGGATGAAGAAGCCAAGAGAGCCACCACGGCTTGCAGGTTTCATCCTGTTCTCCAGTGGCCCCCCACCCACCAGTTCTGGCCGTTAAAGCCCGGGGCCCCAGCCAAGAAGGCACACCCCCTGCAACGCCTGTACAGAGCCTATAGGGTCACAGCGTGGTTGTGTATGCGCTTACTGGCCACCCACCCATCAGTGCCCCCCACCCATCAGAGCCCCCCACCCATCAGAGCCCCCACCCACCCATCAGCGTTCTTTTGGAAATTTCCAATCAAGGCTAGGTGGCACTCACCCGTCTCCAGCTTGCTTGTAGAGCAGCAGCCCACTGATGGTCCCCGTGGAAGGCTTCCACTGCCACTGCACAATGGTGAATGGGTTTTGGTGAGTGGGAGGGGCGTGTGAGGGAGCACGCACATACATGCACTTATCACTTGAGCATGCACGCACAGACCAGTCCGTCCCCAGCTGGCTTGCAGAGAAGCAATCTGCTGATGGTCCCCGCGCGCTGCCACTGCGATGGATGAGTGGGGCAAGCAAGAGGAGAAAGGAGAATCCTCCGGCCCGGGCTGTTAGGACTCACCTTTGTGCGTGTCCATATGCCTTGTCTGTACTCCTTCTATGTAATACAAAGGACCAATTAGCGACCACGTCTACCTGGGCCTCACCCCCTTGGAGTGGGTCCTCCACCCTGGTCCCCTGTTGTTGTGGGGCCCCTCCTCTCTCTCTCTCTCGCTCCCATTCCTTCCCTACCTGAGAAAGTGGCGAGTCCAGAGACCACGTCTGCCTGGGCCGGACCCCCTTGGGGTACGTGCGCCACCCCGGTCCCCTGTTGCTGTGGGCCACGTTGTCGCGGTAGATGCCAAACGGGCCGTTGGCCGGTACAGTGGCATTCAACCCAGGGTAGCTGAGAGTGAACCCGCGCACCCTATCCCTCAGCTCCATCCAGTAGCTGATTTGCGGGGAGGAGAGGGGAGGAGAAGGGGGGCGGAGGGAGGGAAAGGGTCACGGAGAGAGTTAGAGCGCAAACGGGCAGCTTGAGGAGGGAGACGCCAACGGGCCTGTTGGCTGGCACAGAGGCCTTCAGCCCGGTGTAGCTGAGAGAGGGTGGCCGCGCACCCTGTCCCTCAGCTCCATCCAGAAGCTGATTAGGAGGGAGGGGGAGCAGGGGCGATGGACGAAGGGGGGTGGAGGGGGAACTATGGGATACGGAGCAAGGGAATGAGGGAGTGCAACGGTAGATGCCAAAGGGAGCCACTGGCCATGCGGGATCAATTAAATCCAGTGTGGGTAATTCACCCTGAGCCCGTGGCACTGAATTGCCTCGATGCTTCAAGTAACGACCCAAACAGATCTTTGAGGCGCCTCAAAAGCTGAATTGCCTCGATGCTTCAAGTAACGACCCAAACAGATTTTTGAGGCGCCTCAAAAGCTGAATTGCCTCGATGCTTCAAGTAACGACCCAAACAGATTCGTTCGACTGATGCATTTGGCTGGCGACACCAGGGTCCACTCCACTGTCTTGCACCCACACCCGCGTTGCCCATGCGGTTGTTGTTGGTGTTGGTGATCCCAAATTAGGTGGGGCTGTTGATTGTCTCGCCTAACCGCGATGGTTTCCTGCTTCGTTCTTACCTCACAACCGCACACTTGCACGGAAGCAGGTGCTCAGAGCGGGTTTGATCGCACACTTGCACGGAAGCACGGGGGTGACTTTTGAGTTGAATGAAAAGACACTTGCACGGCACACCCGGAGTCCTCGGATCCACTGCGACATTCCCCATGAGGTTGTTGTTGGGGATGGTGATCCAAAAGGTAGACGGGCGGTTGCCGCTAGACCCTGTCTGTGATGGGTCACTCAATTCTTCCCCGTCCGTCCCCACTCACCCTTGCACGGAACCAGAGCCTCAAGTCCTTGGAATCAGAACCTACCCCGAGTCCTCGGAGCCCGCAGCGACGTTGCCGATGAGGTTGTTGTTGGGGTTGGTGATCCAAAAGGTGGACGGGCGGTCGTCCGTCTCCTCCGTCTTGGTGGGGTCGGACGAGAGGGGGATGAGCACCTCCACTGTTGGGTTGGCAGGCAAAACGGGAGGGAGGAGGGAAGTAAACGTGGGGAGGTCAATGGGAGCGGGGGGTCAAAGGGAGCACAGAGTGGTAAGGACTTGGAAAATTGCTGTCCGTCTCCTCCGTCTTGGTGGGGTCGGACGAGAGGGGGATGATTCCACTGTAGGGCATGCAGGAAAGAAGGGGGGAAGGAACGGAGGTGGGTGCGGTGGCCACAGTCGAAGGTGGATGGCTGGTCGTCCCGTCTCCTCTGTCTTTGTGGATTCGGACGACAGGGGAAAGAGCACCTCCACTGCAGGGCAGGAAAGAACGGGGGGGGGGGCGGAAGAGGTGGCGGGAAGGAAAGTGGGGGGAAGGGGAGGTGGGTGTGGTGGGGAACATGGACATTAGAGGATGGACCGACCGTCGTCCAGCTCCTCTGTCTAGGTGGGGTCGGACGAGGGGGGAACGAGGGCCTCCATAGACGGCTGGGAAAGAAGGGGGGGAGTGGAGGAAGTGGATGTGGTAAGGGATGGCTTGGGGGACTTCGGACGGGTTGTCGTCCATCTCCTCGGTCTTGGTGAGGTCAGACGGGAGGGGGATGAGCACCTCCACTGTAGGGTTGGGCAACAGTAGGATGGCGGGGCACTGGGGCCTGCGAGGTTGAGCAGGAACGTGTAGCAAGCTCCCCCCCTCTCTATGGGCTGCTGTACTCTACCCCAATCCATCCCATCCCATCTGCTCTGCAATGGACACTCTTCAATCCCACCAGCACAACACATCACCGCACGAACCCACCTGCTCGCGTCTAAATGCCGAGGTTGTGCAGGAACGTGTTGCCCGCCTCCCCATCCTCAACTTCCAAGTAATCTACTCCTAGACCCATTTGCCTGGGTTGAGCTGCACGTCAAACCCTGCCCCGACCCACCTGCCCTGGTCCAGATGCCCAGGTTGCGCAGGAAGGTGTTGTCAGTCTCCCCACCCTCCTCCACCATGAAGCAGTGCCCCCTCGTGTGGTACGCCACGTTCTCCTGCACGGTTAGATTGAAGGTCGTGTGCACCACCACACAGCGCTGCCCGGGAGGGAGCGAAAGGGTTCACAGGAGAGCAGGAGGGGAGAATACAGGGCAGTAGAGGTCTTGAGGTTGTGAATATCCCCGCCCTTCCTCCACCATAAAGCAGTGCCCCCTCTGGCGTATGCCACGTTCTCCTCCACTGTCAGGTTGAATGTGGTGTGCACCACCACACAGCGCTGCCAGGGAGGGAGGGGAGAGCATGTGAAAAAGCAATAACAGAGCAAGGAGGGTCATTGTGTTGTCCGTCTCCCCGCCTTCCTCCACCATGAAGCAGTGCTTCCTCGTGTGGAAGGCCACGTTCTCCCCCATTGTCTGGTTGAAGGTCATGTGCCCCACCACGCAGCGCTGCACTGGTTGAAGGTCATACCACGCAGCGCTGGTACAATGAGGGGGGGGGGGAAGAGCAGCATAAGGGGGCCATGTAGCGAGAGCAATCCGGGTCCCTCTTGCCTCGTGTGGTAGGCAACGTTCTCCTGCACTGTCAGCTTGAAGGTGATGTGCACTGCCGTGCAGTGCTGAGAGGGAAGAGGGAGGGAGCATACGAGACCTTATAGTGAGGGCAAAGAACGGCAAGTGCCTCGTGTGGTAGGCCACGTTCTCTTCTACTATCAGGTTGAACGCCGTGGCCGCATGCACCACTACACAGCGCTGGTTCAGGGGGGAAGGGAGCACAGGAGAGCGAGCAAGACAGGAGGATACAGCGAAAATAGAGGTCTTTGTGTTGACGGCCTTGCTTGCTGCTTGCTGCTTGCTGCATGCTGCATGCATTTAGTAGCATCTCTAAAACAGGCTCACTCTCCCACCCCTCACCTGCTTGCCGCCACCCCTCACCTGCTTGCTGTCGTGCATCACGTTCTTGCGCACCACGCTGCGCCCCTGGTCGTCCCCCGCACACATGAAAGTGAATGTTATATCTCCCCAGCTTGCCCTGCTGCCCCATCTGTGCAAACTCCACCCCCTCGATGAACTGCGGGGTGCGGCTCATAAAAACCATGAAGTGCCCGCCCTCGCGGTGGTACGGTGCCGGCTCGTCCGTGCCTGTGATGGCGATGGTGCGGTTGAGCAGGGCCACTTCTGCCCGCTCGTCGATGAACCCCCCGAACCCGTCCGGCACGCCCTTGGGGTCGCCGAAGTGGTTCAGGCGGAGCGGCTTCTCGAGGAAGATCTTGGAGCCGCCCGAGGGGAGAGCCACCACTGGGGGGTGTGGGGGGAGGGGAGTCGGGGGCGGAAGGGGAGAGGGGTTTGGTTGTGAGCATAAAGCGTGGGACACCTTGGGGAGTCCGAAGTAGTTCAGGCAGGGAGAGGCGTGACGAGAAAGGTCTTTGAACCGGCGGAGGGTAGAGCCACCACTGGAGAGGAAGGGAAGGGACAAGGGGGAAGGGGTTCTGTGGGTGGTGAGCATAATGCGTGAGGTCCACTTTGATTATCCCCCACAAATCCCACATACTGTGTCGACTATCCCACCCACACCCTCCGCCTGGTCGGGAGTATCAGCCATTGTGGCAACTATCCCCCTCGTGCAGGAAGTAGCTGGTGAGTACGCTGTGACAAGCACCTTCCCCCGTGCATGACTGGTCTCTCCACCTACAATCAAGTACCCCCCTCCATGGCTAGATGCCACACACCACCCATCTATTATCCTCCAATCCGCGCCCCACAAACTATCTCCACCACCTCCTCCCAATCAGGGAAGTTGGTCAATGTGACAACGCCTATCGCCCACACATTGTCTACCACATACAACCGTCGACTATCCCCACACCACAACATCAGCCTGGTCAGGGGAGTAGCCCGAGGATATGACTGACACCTCCTAGCCCTCATGCAGGACTGTTACTTTCCACTCACTGTTCACATTTCCATGTTTATTGCCTCCACTCCACACCCCGCAACCCACCATCAATGATCCCAACAACCTCCGCCTGGTCAAGGAAGTATTCGGTGGATGAGACAACAGCCTGCTCTCCACACACCGTCCATATTCCCATACATGACAGGCTATCCCTGCATATCCCCACCTACCATCAATGATCCCCACCACCTCCGCCTGGTCGGGGAAGTAGTCGGTGGATGTGACAACAACGAAGGCGTCCAGGGGCCATGCGGTGACGTCATCCTGCACTGTAATCACCAGGTCGTTCGGCTGAGCTGTTGCCGTGAGCTTCGTCCACGCTGGCGTGCTACTGCCACCTGGCATGCCGTGCAGATCCACCTGGCCGCCCACCTGGGATCAACAGATGAAGGGAGGCAGAACATTCAAGGCACAGCAAATCCACCTGGCCATGCAGGTTCTTGGTGAATAGATAATCCGCACGGTTATTGGGGGTGTGGGGAGGGGGGCCCGGGGAAGGGAGGAGGGATGCCTCTCACCACCTGTAGCTCACCACTGCAAATGCCTTATGGCCGAGGTTCCTCGGACACGCGGGCTCAGCCAGCAAATTCTCTGTAAACAGATTATCCGCGCGGTTGATGGGGTTTGGCGTGAGAGTGATCTTCACCCTCTCCTGCGTGGAGGAGAGGCGTCCCAATGGACAGCTCACAGACTCACAGGTACCCCTGCACCACTATGAAAGTCGGCCGCACTCAAGATTACTCTACTCAGGATTACTCTACTCAGGATTATTCCAAGGGTGTGCCGTACTCACCACTGCAAACGCCTTATGTCCCAAGTTGCGAGGAAAAGCGGGCTCAGCCGGGAGATTCTCGGTGAAGAGATAGTCGGCACGGTTGTTGGGGTTGGGCGTGAGAGTAATCTTGATCCTCTGCTGAAAGTGCTGCTGCGGCCTGCCGATGGAGAGATTCCCCTGCACCACAATGAAGGCTGCGCTTAGATCGATCTTGGGGAGAGCAGGCGAGTCGAGCACGCGGAGGAAGCCCCGGATGTTGAGCAGAGTGAGGGCGACAGGGGACGTGTCCAGCAGCACAGCCTCCCCGCACGCGATGGTTACGTTGGCGCCTGCTGCGGCGCCCTGCCCGGGGATGGGGCCATTCCCCCAGGTTGCTGGGTCGCTCCACTTCTTAAAGCCTGCAAGGGGAGAGGGAGGAGGGAGGAAAAGACGTGGATGGATGTTGAGCAGAGTGAGGGCGATGGGGGATGTGTCGAGCAGGAGAGCCTCCCCGCACGCCACTGTCACGTTGGCACCTGCTGCAGCCCCTGGCCAGGGATGAGCCATCCTCCCCAGGTTGCTGGGTCGCTCCACATCTTAAAGCCTGCAGGGGAGGGTGGGGGAGGGAGGAGAGGAGGAAAAGGGAGGCATCGGGATTTAGCACTGTGAGGGCGACGGGTGACGTGTCCAGCGGGAGAGCCTCCCCGCACGCGATGGTCACGTTGGCACCGGCTGCGGCACCCTGGGCGGGTATGGGGCCGCCTCCCGACGTGGCTTGTTCCAGCGCTTGAAGGTTGCAGGGGGGAAAAGGGGAGAGCGGGAGAGGGGGGGGAGGGAGCATGAGGAATTAGATGGGGAGGGGGAAGGAGGAATGTGCCGAGGAGAAGAGAGAGTCAACTGCTGTCTCCCCAAGTGGCTGGGTCACTCCACCGCTTGAAGGCTGCAGGAGGGGTGGTTGTGGGGGGGAAGTCGGGGAAGGGGAAGCATCAGGAGTCAGCAGAGTGGGAGAGACGGGCGAGAGAGTGGAGGGGAGGGATTCGGAGGGAGGGAGGGGGAAGGGGGAGGGGAATGGAGTGGGGGAAGGGAGTGGGGGGAGGGAGTGCGGGCTTTGAGGGAGGGGGCAGGGGCGTTAGAGGAAGGCGGGTTGCCGGTCCAGAGGGGAACGGAGCAGTCGGGGCGGAGTGGTTGAAAGCGGGAAGGAGGGGGGGCGGGAGGCGGGGAGACACAGAGGAAATTCGAGTTCATGGGGGAAGGAGCCGGGAAGGGGTGGGGGAGGAACGAGGGGGAGGGAGAAGGGATGGGTAGGGGGAGGCGCACTGGTAGGTTCTTCGAGGGTGGGGCACGGCGGGAGGAAGTTATCTAGCACGTTGGCTCGCCCAGCAGTCGCAGGCGACGCCATTGCGACGATGACGACGGCGATTGCGACGGCGACAGTCCACGTGCCTCTCAGCCATGCTGTGCGAGAGCCAGGCGGAAGGGCGGAAGGCCCGCGGCGGCCACGACGGGGGAAGCGCGCGGAGGGTGAATGGGCGGAGCGGACGGAGAGTGGGCGCGCGGAGGGTGAGCGGGCGGGAGGGCTGCGGCGGCAGGGGAGGGAATGGATCGCTTGGCGCGGAGTCGGTGCGTCAACGGCGGGAGAAGGCGGCATCATGGCGGAAAATGCGCGGCCTTGGCGGGATTCCTGGCAGAAACGCTGGCCGTCAGCGTGCGGCAGTGCTACCGAGAAAGCTGCTCTGCTTCGACCAGTTCTTCTTTGCCTCGAGTCGTCGCCCACCTCGCCAAGTGTGGTCTACAAAGCAGTGGGTAGAGAGAACAGCCTGCCTGTGAACCTGAGCCTTGGTTCTCCCATCTAGATTCTGGACTGAGCTGAATGTGGCAGGCAGGCACTATCTGGAAGAGAGAGCTTAGCTTACTCCCTCGAGTCTCGACTCGACTCGAACCAAACAACCGCGAATCAGGCAGCAGACGCTCAGGTCTGGCCTGTTGGTCTGCTGACTGGACTCCTGGTCCCACTCTGGGACAGATTCATGTGTAACGAAGCATCGTGCACTGTGCATACGGCAGGGAGAGTGAGGCATTCCTTTCTGGCGGCAGGTGCACGGACAAGTTGCCCCCACCTACCAGCGGGACAAAGATTGAGCGTTACTGTACTGTTAAACGGTTAGCCAAAATAGTGTACGAGGTGTTCCCCTATGATGTGATCTGAAAGTGATGGGCTTTAGTGTTTCTTTGGTGACATCTTGTTTGGTTTGGTGTAGGAAATAGATGTATCGCATTGTTTAGTCGCTGTATATAAAGGAACTCACATAATATCGAACACCCACCTCTCTTGTGGTACTTTGGGATTGCTAGTACAATCCCATTTTGAATGAATCTCCACATATATGCAGCCGACAAGACTTTGTGAGGTGTTGGAAATGATAAAGAAACTTAAAGACCTTTCAGGAGACTTGCGTGGGTGTACGAATATGTGAAGACTGCAACGAGGATCACCGAGTCAACACTCCTACAGTACCACCGATGGATGACGTAGGTTGACGACGCCTTGCATAGGTTACGAAAGGGCAACGGTCGTGGATCGTTGACCGTGCAACCCAACAGTCAGAATTGCAAGAGTCTGTCAACTTATACATATTATCTATGTAGAAGTTCTAGGCTAGACTGAGGTATGCTTCTAGTGAGTACAACCAACTAGTATTTGTTCTAGGTTTCCACTTCTAGTAATCATTCGTTCTCACTTTGACATGGTATCACGCGTAGGTTAGCATCCCCCACCTACCGCTTCCGCCCGTACCCTAGCTAGGCCACGTCGCGCCTCCTAGCCCCGTCGCGCCTCCTAGCCACGTCGCCCCCCCCCCCCCTCCTGGGCCACGTCGCGCCACCCTAGCCCCGTCGCGCCACCCTAGCCCCGTCGCGCCTCCTAGCCCCGTCGCGCCCCTCCTGGGCCCCGTCGCGCCACCCTAGCCCCGTCGCGCCACCCTAGCCCCGTCGCGCCCTGCCTGGCCCCGTCGCGCCCTGCCTGACCCCGTCGCGCCCGCTCGGCCGCGTCGCGCCCTGCCTGGCTCCGTCGCGCCGCCTGGCCCCGTCGCGCCCTGCCTAGCCCCGTCGCGCCCTGCCTGGCCCCGTCGCGCCCGCTCGGCCCGTCGCGCCCGCCTGGCCCCGTCGCGCCCGCCTGGCCCCGTCGCGCCCTGCCTAGCCCCGTCGCGCCCTGCCTGGCCCCGTCACGCTGCCTGGTCCCCGCCGCGCCTCCCTGGCCCTGCCGCGCCTGCCTGGCCCCGCGCGCCCTGCCTGGCCCCGTCGCGCCCTGCCTGGCCCCGTCGCGCCTGCCTGGCCCCGTCGCGCCTGCCTGGCCCCGCCGCACCTGCCTGGCCCCGCCGCTTGGCCCCGTCGCGCCCTGCCTGGCTCCGTCGCGCCCGCCTGGCCCCGTCGCGCCCTGCCTAGCCCCGTCGCGCCCTGCCTGGCCCCGTCACGCCTGCCTGGCCCGCGCGCCTCCCTGGCCCTGCCGGCCTGCCTGGCCCCGCCGCGCCTGCCTGGCCCCGTCGCGCCCTGCCTGGCCCCGTCGCGCCTGCCTGGCCCCGTCGCGCCTGCCCTGGCCGCCGCACCTGCCTGGCCTGCCGCCCTGCCTGGCCCCGCCGCGCCTCCCTGGCCCCGCCGCGCCTGCCTGGCCCCGCCGCGCCTGCCTGGCCCCGCCGCGCCTGCCTGGCCCCGCCGCGCCTGCCTGGCCCTGCCGCGCCTGCCTGGCCCCGCGCGCCTGCCTGGCCCCGCCGCGCCTGCCTGGCCCCGCCGTGCCTTCCTGGCCTCGCCAGCACCTGCCTGGCCCCACCGCACCTGCCTGACCCCTTCGCCCCGGCTCGTCCTGCCGTGCCGCCTCGGGCTCCGTCTCCTCTGCTCGCCCGTGCTGAGGCGCTTCGCGGCCGCCGTGCTGGAGGGGGCTGTCGCTGTGTTCCTGTGGAGCTGTGCCGCTGACCCTGCACGATGGCGGACTTCGTGCTCCGACTGGACGCGGAGGGCCATGCGGTTGACTTCGCCGCCTGGCTCTCCGATCTCCGCCGCCACCTTACAGGTCAGCGCCAGGATGGCCACTCTTTGGTTGTCCATGTCGACGGCTTGCTCCCCCGTCCCCCCGCACCTGCTCCCCTCCCTGCTGATCCCTCCTCTGATGACCGTGAGACCTTCTCTACTGCTGCGCTTGCCCGTGCGGTCTGGGACTCCCGCGATGCAGTCGCTCAGGTTGCCATTAGCCACGCCCTCCCTGTCTCTGAGCGCTCGCGTTTTGCTACTATTGAGACGGCCAAAGCTTACTTAGACGCTGTTATTGCCCGCTATTCCACACCCGCGTCTGCTTCTGCTGGTCGCCTGCTCTTCCCTATGCTTTTCCCAGACCTTGCAGCTTTCCCTACCGTCGCAGACTTTGCCACTCACCTGCGTGCCCTAGAGACCCGCTATCGCACTGCCAGCACTGCTGCCCCCAGCTCACTGCGCTCCCCCCCCTTTCTGCATGACGCTCTATTTTATCGCCATGCGCCTGCCAGACCGCCTCGCTAGTGCTCGCGATCACTTTCTTAGCCAGCACCCGGGTGACCTCACTCTCACTGCCTTTGTCGACACCCTCACCGAGATCGAGACTCGCCAGCGCACTATCGCTCAGTCGAGCGGTGCGCCGGCAGTTTCTATCTTTCACGGTTGTGCCCCCTCCCAGTGTGCGTTCACTGACGTTTCGGCTGCGGTCGCCTCGGCGGCCCCTCTCACCGAGTCGGCTGGTGCGGTCCACCCGCAGCAGCGCTCGCGCCGCGGTGGCCGTGGTCGCCAGGGGGGTAGGGGTGGTGGTGGCAGTAGTGG